CCACTATGTTTCCCTGACAAGTTGTACACATTCATTTCATCAGTTGAACTAGTACATCTAAATATTCTACAATGTCTTTGAGGTATTACAAAGCTTAATTAGATAAATGAATAATTCCTGTGAAACAGGTGGCTTTTAAAAACAATTACGATAGAATATTAATTATAGGAAGACAGATAATGTGTAATCATTTCAATTCTTGGCAGTTTATGAAAACAAGTTATAATAATGAATCAATAACTTCTTGTTGGCTGTTTAAAAGGAAATTTGGATGTTGTATCTATAGATATCCAGAGATTCCAGCAGATTTAATCTTTGTGCTTTATTTTCTAGATGGAATATGTCGTAGCCCATGTTGAAATCGTGGTTGTCTAACCGGTGACAAACATAGGTGGAATTGGTTTTCTTTAGTTCAGTTTTTTTTTTATTTTAGGAGATTCTCGTTTCGAAATTTCTTGAAGTCCTTTCTATAAAAACTTTTGGACATGATCCACGTGTGGGTTAGTAAATTCCTGATTTGTTATCTTTGTCCATATTTGACATGTTGTTGAGTATATGTCTCCCCAAAAAGATAGTGTCATATGCCTTGTTCATTTCGTTAGTATTTTTTTTGTTTTATCTGACATCAGGGTGAACGATTTTGTTCTTGGTTTGTATAATTTTTAATAACATTTCATCTATGAGTTTGTGATAATCTCCTGGACGAATGGCTGGAAATAAATTTGTGACATCGAACGAAATCAATAATTTGGAATTAGGTAAGAGGTGAATTTTGAAGATTTTCTATATTAGTTTTTCATTGTCAACGAAGATAGGAATTGGTCGTAGTTTTTAATGATATTTATCAGCAATTTGGCATTAGGTCCATTAGGTCCATTAGGACATTAGGTCCAAAATGACTCGATCTATTCGACTCTCCACCGCAACCCGGGTTTATTGTGGCTCACACTTATTCACACTCGACCAAATCAACTAAGCTTCTTAACGAAGCCGATTAGTTTGTATGGTGAGTGGTCTTTCAGGTCAGATGGTAAGAGTACGGCTCTGCCAAACGGGGCAGGCATAAAATATGGGCTCTGCTGTTTCATAATTTTCCAAACAGAGGTGACACACACTGTTTTCCAATAGTCCGAGTCTCTGCATATGATGATTCAAATGACAGTGACCTGTAAGAAGGCCTGTTAGACATCGTAGTTCATCTCTACTGTAGTCCAACAACTGTTTGGTATCAAGCTTCGAAAGGTGAATAAACGCCTTGGAGTGAGCCAATCTGCCAGAAGTCCATAAATCTTCTTGACATCCAGATGTTCAATCTTTGTTTGGCAAAGCCTAAAGCGATGCCAATGACAGATTCTGGTCCGATAGAACTGCTTGCAGCACCCTCCATTACAAGGGAGTCAGCAGCTTCATTGCCTTCTAGGCCAGTATGGCCAAGATTCCAGACCAGAGACAATCTGTTGAGTCTTCCTATCGAGAAGAGCCGATTTTGGCAATTTGCTACCAATTTAGACGTTGCTCGGTAGGAGCTAAGTGCTTCCAACATGGGATGATGATGTTGTTTATGAAGTTAAAAAAATTAATAAGCTGTGGAGTTTGCGGATTTGACATGAGATATTTGTATCTGTGTTGGTCTGATGAGGGAGTTAACTTCTTGGATAACTTTTTTTACTATAGTTTGAAATTTGTCAGTCGACTTTTTTGGTCGAATAACAATAGAACTGGTTTGTAAGTCGAGTGTTTTGGTTTTATACATTAAGGTTTATTAATTGTCTGATGTTCTTAGAGGGTCAAATGAAGCTTTTTCAATATTGACGCCCAATTTCTGTGATTTTCCAAATTGTTTTGATATATTCACCCCCATAGTGTTCACCAATGCCTGCAGTTTTTAAGAAATATAAAAAGAAGGCTGCAATATTGTTCCTTATTCAACTGGGTCCAGATAATCGGAAAATCTTTGTGTCAGTTCAGGTTGAAACAACCCAGATTCATCTTTACCAAGCATGTTCATCAAAGATATCCTTGTCTTGGAGCTATACGCCCAAAAACAATCGCTTGACCCCGGAGTTAGAACAGTTGAAGGGTTTTATGACTCAACTGTCATCATTGTATATGATGAGACTATTTGGAATTCATCGCTTTCATTGCGATAAAAAGTCATTGATTTTTGAAACGTTACTCATGAGAAAATCTATTTGCGGGAAATTCAAGCTTTATTGTGTATCGTGAGTAATTTCACGATGTTAATAAGACATTTTGCGACACGGTTTCATTACACCAGACGGAGAAGGAAATCCATAATAGTCAGTTGATTAACAGTTTCTTGTACTGGTACAGGCTGTTAGGCAAGTTTGTTGAATATGTCAATTCAATTCACCTGTCAATAAAATTGGGATGTTAATAAGACATTTTGCGACACGGTTTCATTACACCAGACGGAGAAGGAAATCCATAATAGTCAGTTGATTAACAGTTTCTTGTACTGGTAAAAGCTGTTAGGCAAGTTTGTTGAATATGTCAATTCAATTCACCTGTCAATAAAATTTAGCACTTGACTATTACGAAAATTATTGATAAACATGATTTGCAATTCTCCACAAACCATCTTATGCAGGTATTGTCATACATAATTCCTCCACGCATTCCTAGCAGTATTAATAAAGTAGCTGCATTTAATAGTGTGCTTCACACTATTCCTCCGTCTGTTGGAAAGTATCTTTCAGAGAGACCTGAGTTTCATCAAACAAATCACTGTCAACAACGGTTACAAGATAAATACTATCGACTCCATTCTTTTCAAAATACTACGAAAACAAGCCATAGACCAGGTCTATCCAACTTCAAGAAACAATAGTGTGCGTTACACGATAGTGTGCTGACTCTCTTGCAAAGAAGGGTGCTGCAAGCGGCTTTATCGGACCAGAACCTGTTATTGGCATCGCTTTGGGCTTTGCCAAACAAATATTGAACACCTGGATGGCAAAAAGATGTATGGACTTCTGGCAGAATCTACCAGGATTGGCTCACTCCAGGGCGTTTATCCAGCCTTCGAAGCTTGATACCAAACAGTTGTGGGACAACAGTAGGGATGAACTACGATGTCTAACAGGCCTTCTTACGGGTCACTGTCATTTGAATCATCATATGCAGACACTTGGATTGTCGGAAAACAGTGTGTGTCGCCTCTGTTTGGAAAATGATGAAACAGCAGAGCATATACTTTGTGCCTGCCCCGCTGGAGACCAAATCAGGTTCTTAGAGTCCAGCAGATCCGTAATCTTACCATATGACCTGAGAGACCACTCACCATACAAACTAATCGGCTTCCTTGAGAAGCTGGGTTTATTTAGTCGAATGTGAATAGGTGTGAGCCACAATAATCCCTTGCGGATTGCGGTGGAGGATTGAATAGACCCACTAACTTCAGACCTAACCTGCCCTAGTGTGCGATATCGGACGTGGCTTGTGGTTCTTGCCCAAAACTTTATATTGGTCAAACGGGAAGAATATTTTCCCAAAGAATTAAAGAACATGGGAATGGAAAGACCAATTCCACATGTTTAGAAATGAATATATTTGAAATTTCGGGTCATTTACTGAATGACCAAATTGAATTCAATTACTTCCCTTTACTGAATATTTTTTCAAATGTAGAAACTGATTATTAACTGATACATAAACTCAGGTAATTTAATTTATTACGCGTTCATTTGAATCAGTTAGTAAAATCAATGTTCTTATGTACACATTTTTAATATCAATTGTGTGGGTGAAACTCCGATACTTCCAATTGTAAAATTATATATAAATCATTGAATATGTAGATTTCATTCAGTATAAGCACGCTCAAAGAAGCTATTGTAAAGCGAACCACGTGTTACGTTTTTGTAAAACTGTGTAGTGTGTAGTGAAAAATCTCACAATAAAGTGTTTCATGAATATGTCGTTCATATATATAATGAATAATAATGGCACCAGACTTAATCCTTGTGGGACACCATGTTCAACAAGTTAGTATTCAGTCATTGAATTATTGCGATTCACTACTCTAATTGGGAAACAAAGATACACCATTGTTTTAAAACTTCCAAATATGTCATGTTCCATGTGCCATGTTCAAATACCCCAATATTTTGAGACATTCAAGACAGATTGAACGTTCTCTGTAGAAATCAAATTGTTCTTCGTCAAAAAACTAAAAATGAGACTGAATTATTTGTTCCATCATTGAGATTAGATGATAATTGAAAGATAAAACTGGAACTTATAGCGTAGAATAAATCCCAAACAAGCACTTCTCTCAATCACCAGAAATGGAACACTCTTCTCGACACGCGTTGGAGACTTCAGGAAATTAGAAAAATTGTTGTCTTCAACGACTATAAGGATAACTAGAGAATTTTGGGGATCATCAGTAATAATATCAGCTCATGATTGATGTTGATCTGAATTATTTTATTTGGCTAATATTTCTCATGAACGAATTGTAAGACGAAGCATTCATTTAAATAAACGTTTAACGAATTAATCTTTCTATTTTTTTCCTTATGGTGATTTTTATTATGTTCTGCTAGTATAGCTGCTGAGAAAAACTGTTTTCTTCATCTTCTGAAGACGCCAACTAGGTTGGCGAAACGCACGTCGAGAGAAGTGTTGCATTATAATCATCTAAAAAAGAGTAGTTATACACATTTCGAAGATGAATTATGTGAAGTTTTCTTGATAATTCCAATATTGAATTCGTTTTGGAATGTTCCAAAAACTTGATCGCGTCTAAAACATTATTTTCGATTACTAGACCCAATAAGAAAGAACTAGAGGAGGCTGTTGCTGCTAAGAAACTTGATAATATCGTCAACAACGTATATAACATTTTATTGAAGTTATCAATTTTTTAAATTGTTGTGACTTTACGACTATTTGCTTACATCAGCTTAAAGTTTCAAGTTCGCCCATCTGATCGTAAATATAGCTTAAATTATTTTTAACATATTTCAGCGTCAAATAGAGAAATCCAATGACCTCTACGAAGAATGTAAGAACATCAATGACTCAAAAGGCCAGCATCTGCGTGAATTGTCGGATAGCTTGCACATTCAGATGAAGGCTTTCAGAGAAAGGCTTGAAGATGCCAGAGAAAGAATCGAAGATAGTTCTAGATGCTTCTTGCTACTCGAATCATGTCACGACATTTTAGAAGACGACTGCAAAGAGCAAGAGGAATTTGTCAAGCTCGCTGAAAAGTCTGGAAATGAGAGGCTGCTTCAACTCTGTCAGGTAATTACATTAATAATAACAAGTGAACTCTCAGAAAAGGAGACTAAACATGATCGGTTTCTGGTATTTTTTTTCTCATTGAGAACTTATTTCAGACAGATCAGACCCGGTATTTTTTTCTACTACTTGGGAGCCGCGTCCGACTTGTCCAAAGATCATGCAAAGAAGTGACTTTCAGACATAAACTGCAAGAAAAACCCTTTCTCGAAAAAGCTTTATTTTTATTTTTACATGAAGACTGAATTATACGAAAACACTCTTCTCTATTTCGATTGTATTCCACACATTCGTAATGGAATCGAATCAGATATCATACACAGGGTTCCTTCCTACACAATATAATAATTGAAAGAAGTAAAATTTCACTTATATGGAACACTGTCATCCTCACTGGTAGACATCCAATATTTCATCGTAAGACACTTTGCTTATCGGCTCTTCAGTACTAAATACGAATAACATCATAAGAAAAAACACTCAATTTATTCATGAAATTACAACTTTTCGTCATATTATCGATGACAGTACGTAGATAACATTCATTCGTTTATTATTTAATTCAAATGAATAAAAATAAAATTCTTTGACAGTTTCATTCTATAGTTCAATCGAATTTCATTTAAAAAATACTCTTATCCCACACAAAGGGTGCATTCTTGAGAAAAATTCAGGTATCACATTTTGAAGTGATACCTGAAAATATTGATTTTTGAATAATACCATAATGCAATGACAAGAATGAAAATCAAAATTTCATTTTAACATGTTGGTCTTGAAACTACGGGCGCCTTCCGCAATATATCTCGGAAATTAATAATATCGAAAAATTCAAAAATAAGTTGAAAGGTTATATCTAATCGACTTCGAGGGTTGATATACATCTACAAATCGAAAACCCCTTCATGATATAGTACTTCGGTCAACAGTAAAGTCCCTTCTGATTATAAACCCATTCGATGATATATGTTTTCTGAGATTGTCCATGCATGTGTTAATATGTGAAAATTACTCCCTAAAACACTAGTTATATTTTCTATTTCTACCTCAAGTGATCGTTTCTCTTGTATTTTTAAATGTATTTTTTAAATTAATTTTCTGCATCATTTCTATAGATTTGTAATAATGCTTATATTCCATATATTATACTATTAATATTTATTACCCAGCATCTATTCAACCCATAAAAGAATTTGATTTCTTACAGGTTTCCCCACTTTGTTGTATATTATTTAGATTATTAGCTTGTGATACTTCTATTTTGTAACGGTTTCCTTTTTGCGATAAATTATTATAATTATTATTTATATTTCTATATTAATCGAACCTTCAAATCTCTTCGGAGATATTATATAATATATACTGGGCATCTCAAATAATGGCAGATACTATTGTAAAAATGATTATCTCCAAAAATATATTGAAATTAAAGAACTTCCTGAAAAAAAATTAGTGTTATCGAATATAAACCGGAAAAAGTTCGTGTAGAACAAAAACTTTCACCTACGAACATTGAAATTGAAAAGAATTTCCTTTCATTTTGAAATCTGTACACCTAATCTTCATAATGATAATTGAAAAAATAGCAATCATGTGAAAATGACAACACAGTAAATGATAGAAAACATTTCATAAACCAGATTCGTTTTGAATTTCAAAATCCGCGCATTGATATTCTTACATTCATCATCATTATTTCCACATCACATACAGACATGCGGTTCACCTGGTCTTACATAAAGCTAAAAGGGTATCCTCCAGAATGTTCTGGAATATTTCCAAATGATCAAGAAGCTAGCATCATATGCACATTAATAATATGAGAATTTGATTTCAGACTGTTAAGAAAAATGATGTTTCGGCTGTGTCCAACGAACCGCCCGACAAAGAAGACAAAAACCCGCCCTACTCCTCAGCCGAGATAAGCGCCTGCAGCACCCCCGTGAAGCCCCAAAACACCCAGATCCGAAGAAGATCCGTCAGCTCATTGGCGTTCATCTACCACTGCAACCATCACGCAGCTGGGGAGATGTGTAACTGTTGTGAATCGGACACGGAAAACACTGTCTCCTACAAGCTCCAGAGGAAGTACATCCAGACCCTTCAGTCTTGCACTTGCCCAGCCCTAGGCAAGGTATTGTGGTCATCATAGTAAAAAAATTGTAACTAACATAATGTTCAACACTACTTATACAGGGCGTTTCATTGGGAAACGCGAATACGTTACAGGAATAAAGGACAGCCAGATGATTCTGAATAACCTTTATTTAAGTTTACAAACACTCTGTATGTGTAACGAAATCATGATATTCATAAAATATGGTTTTCATATATCCCCAAACATGGTAACGTTAGATTAGGTTAGGTCAGAAGTGAGTGGGATAATTCGACCCACCACCGCAACCCGCAAGAGTTTATTGTGGCTCACACCTTCTCAAACTCAATCAAATAAACCCACCTTCTTAACGAAGCCGATAAGTTTATATGGTGGATGATCTTTCAGGTCAGATGGTAAGAGTGCGGCTCTGCCAAACTCTGAAAACCTGATTCGGTCTGCAGCGAGGCTGGCATAAACTATGTGCTCTGCTGTTTCATCATTTTCCAAACAGAGGCGACACACACTGTCTTCCGACAGTCCGAGTCTCTGCATATGATGATTCAGACGACAGTGACCTGTGAGAAGGTCTGTTAGACATCGTAGTTCACTCCTACAGTAGTCCTACAACTGTTTGGTTTTCAACTTCGAAGGGTGAATCAACGCCTTGGAGTGAGCCAATCCTAGAAGATTTTGCCAGAAGTCCATAGGTCTTCTTGCCATCAAGGTGTTCAATGTTTGTTTGGCAAAGCCTAAAGTGATACCAATGACAGGGTCTGGTCCGATGGTAGTCAGATGGCAATTTCATCATCATCATCATCAAGCAAAATATTTTAGCCGTTTAGTTATTTACTTAAATGATGGTAAAATACAAGTAAAAGCCAGATTCATAAGTCAGAAGCTTTCATCAACACTTCATTAGGTTTTTCTGAAAAGAAATTCCTTGATTTATTTCTTGAACTTGAGGTTATTTTTACATTCCTCAAACATACATTTTTCCTAGTAGAGATTTGTGTTGAATGTTTTGGTGGTACTAATAACTGTTTGTTTCGAGTTTCATAAATATAATCAACTTTGTCTGATTCACAGAACACTATATATTGTAAACAAAATACTTCATAAATATAATGATGTCATAAGATTGCAGTTACTTTTGGAAATGTATCAGTTGAATTCAGTTTAACCATAATACAGAGAGCACCTTCATATACCACCTTTGCTGTTCTATTTGGGGAAACACATAACACATATTAAGTATAACCTGGCCAATTCTTCCACAAGTCCAAGTAGTTCAGTATTTTGCATACAGTTAGTTGATGTGTTATTGAAAGTGATATGATCAAGATGTTGAGTAATTGATTGATTTGTTTTGTCAATATTCATTAACCCACCCATACATTTGTGCACTAACTCGGATTGTTTCATGACATTTGAAATATCATCAGTGACAAACAGGTCGGTTACATGATATTTCATGGATTCTGCATATAAACTATAAATAAAGTGGGTCCCTGAATTGAACCTTGAGGTACCCCATTATCAAAGAGTCTTAACCTGGAATGAAATTATCTCACTTCACTTGCTGATATCTAAAATCAATGTATGGCACAAACCAATCAAATCAGACAGCCCTAACATGGTATCTTTTGAATTTATGTGAGATGATGTTACGATTAACAAATGCTCTTCTTCTTCTTAAGGACGGCCTGGAGCGAAAGAATAGCGGTACCTTGGGCGGCATCAAAGAAGAACGGGAAAGTGTCGAAAATATTTTGAAAAAAGTCGATTCGGATTGCAATCGTTGCGATAGCGGAGTGTCGACCGCGGAAAATTCGGTAGGAGACGAAATCGTGTACAGCAAGCGGAAGTTGCAAAGGACATGTTCGTGCCAGTATTATAGGGAAGGCTGTCATTTGTGTAGTGCGGGAAGTTCTAGTACGGGCTCCAATCAGGACCATACGGAACACCAGCAAGATAGCGTTATTGAAGAAGGAAGTGACGGATTCATGAAAAGGTTTGTTGAAAGGATTGGGGAATACTTTCCAGTGTTTTGAATGCTCCATCTTCTATATCTTAGTGTTCTTGATTTTATTGTTACCCCTTATTTCCTCTCCTACTTCCTTCTCTTCCTCTCGTTTTTCGTCCTATTCCTCTTTTTCTTCGTCTTTCCGTTTTCAGTTATCTTCCATTCCTTCGTCTTTTTCTTCATTGGTCCACTTTGTCCTTTTTGGCTTCTCGTTCTTGATATCCTCTTTCTGTCTCTTTTTCTTTTTGCCGTTTGCTTATATTCATCTTTTCAGTCACTTCTATCTTCTATCACCCATTCTCCCCGTTCAACTACCCTTCCCATTGTATCCTCTTTTCCTTTTTACTTTTTACTGCCTTACTCTCGTCTTACTATTTGACAAATTCAGTGAACGTTTTCTTATACGGCGGCTAAAAAATTCATTGAGTTATTGGAAAACATATTTATGATTATTACTTGCTGAAAATATATGGAGCTTTTTATAACAAAAATCACAAAATTTATATTGATCAGCCAAAACGTTGATACTTATTTTCTGGAGTTTCTTGGTTTCATAATGACATATAACTTAATTGTGATGTATTAAGTTGTTTTAAATTTTTGTTCGTTTTTATAAGTCTAATTTGAACTGTAATATGTCAGTGAATACTTATTCAATTTAATCGACATGAGCGCCAATTGAATCAGTATACTTTTGCCAACGTAACACAATTCGATTAATTAATTAAGCTTGTATTCAAACACGCTTTTTCAATCTGATAAAAATATAAACTCTGACAAAAATATAAACTTTGATAAAAGCAGTGGCGTATAATGATTTTTACCATAAATATCAATCAGGTAACCCTCCGTGACGCTACTGGAATTATTATCTGTAATCTAATTACGGATAATTTATGTTACTGCTAACACACTTATTTTCGTTAAAATATGCATAGACTTTTGAGTTATTTATAAAAGAACAATGTTTTTGAACTTTTTTCATAAAATATGTCAAGTAATCACCACCTGGAATTAAGTACATCATTTAAGATACACCCTATGTATCTACAGTTTTATATTCGTATTACATTATTATATTTGTAAAATAACAGCAATTCATGTCTGGTTCAGAAACGGTATGAATATGTATATATACGTACCTGTTATGTATATGTTTTCTCTTGATGTAAATGTAACATCGTCTTCAGTTGTAACATAAAGTTTTGTATTTCTGATAGCAGTGAAGATATTGAGGATGACCATTTCATAGAAGACAGAAGAAAAGTGCCTCCAGTATCAGCAAATAATCATTTATATTGTCACGACTCTACACTAGATCTGCCTTCAGATGCCTTGTATAATAATATGGACCCAAAGACTCAAAAGTAAGTATAAATATGTGTATTGAATTTTGTAGAATACTCGGTATTACAGTTTTTCGAAATTGAATGACTGTTTTTTTCTTATATACAGTGTACTGGATTTTGATAATTTTACTTGGTATGAAATTTTTCCAGCTCAGCCGCCTTTATGCAAATGTCAGTTTGAATGTTTATAATTTTACTTCGTTTTAAATTTCTCCATTTCAGCTTCCGTTCTGAGAAGAGGGTCCATATTCACGGCATGCTGCCATATACAAGTTGATACCAGTTGTTTTTTTAGTTTCTACTCGTTTCGTTGTGCTCTGTCTTCATAATTTTGGCGTTATCATAAAGCATAATATGTACACCATCTCACGTCAGATTATGTTCTGCTAATTTGCATTTCCTCATGTCTCGATTTCTTATACTATTCTTCCTTTTTCTTAAAGGTCTTGAAGCCTCACCAATATGAGTCTAACCACAAACACACAGAATATTGTATTCTCATTCGCTACTTTGAAATAATGAAAACTCTAGATGCTTTTGAGTATTAGAAATAGTATGGACCTTTAGAACTATGGTATCATATTCAAAGAAATTACTTATTGTTGTGTATGTGCTGGTCATGTTGGTAATCGTTGAAGTTGTGGTAATAGTTGTCATTGCTGTGTGGTTTCATTTTCAATTTTCGGAATCGAAATATTTTGATGAAGGCAATTTTGTTTTCAAAATTTTTGTTGTTGATGAAATCAACTTGGCTCTATCTGTGTTATTGATCATATATATGGACAGGATGGCTAGGGCTAGGATGTGGAATCATACACGATCTGGGCTTGACTGGTTTAATCGGTGACCCCCGAGACAGATGACAGTTGGCACTTAGGCATTTTGTAGCGTACTTATTACACTATCAATGAATTTTTTCGTGAGTTCTCTATTATTGATAAAATGAAAAAAGTTTTGAAATCATCAATGCCATGTTGCCAAATTATGAATATATCATCAACATACCTCCACTAAAATTTTGGGCATTTTGGATAGGTAGATATCTACAAAATTCTCCATAAAAATATTTCACATTTATGCAGTTGTGTACCAGTTTTAAGTATTTTCTAACAGGATTTAAAAAATGTAACAAAATTGATTCATAAAGCGTCTTCCAAAGAAAGTATATTTTCAACTAAAATTCATATATGTTTTTTTTGTTCAAGTATTTGGGCAACATTGATAAATAAGAGCTGTTACTGGCAAGTTGGATAAATATTCTGAATTTGCATTCAAACACTGTAACAGTTTTGGGCGAATTCAGCAATTTGCCCTCATCATTCGAATAAGTTCATAATAAATGCTAGGAATAACTTATGTGCCTCCACAAATAACATTCAGACAATAAGTTTTTCCCATAATTATTTCTACCCCCAAACTTTTTCCATGTTACTTACAGAAATATTGTAAATCGAACTTGGAACAAGGAATAAAAATTATTATCATTATTATTATTTTACAGAACCCTAACGTATATCATAAAAGAAATGGTAGATACAGAACGTGACTACGTCAAGTCCCTAGATTACATAATAGTCAACTATATCCCCGAGCTACAAAGAGAAGACATCCCCCAAGCTCTTAGAGGTCAGAGAAACACGGTTTTTGGTAATGTAGAGAAAATATACGAATTCCACAGCCAACATTTCCTGGAGGAATTGGAAGAATGTATCAGTAATCCTCTGCAAGTGGGACAAATATTCCTCAAGTACGATAAAAGATTTTATTTGTACGCCTTATACAATAAGAATAAACCAAAGTCTGATTCCCTGATGTCAGAATACGGGTCTCTGTTTTTCAAGGTGAGTAAACTCATGATTTATATTAATAAATAATAATAAAGTTATATTATATAAATATGAAAAATATTCAAAAGTTTATACTTTTAGACGAATACGTCAACATAATTTGTTGGAATTACACAAACCTAAAATGCACATCAAGAATGATAATGAAATATAACAGAAAAGAGAACCATATTCTTTACATTGAAAAATTTCTCTGTAGAATTCATATCCTTTTTAATATCCATTCTGTTAGTTTCATTAACATACAATTTTGAATATGACTAAAGCTTATCGCCCACTTATCCGGCACGGCACGGCCCGTCCCATCAAAATGTATTTATTTATTAACGAATAACCCCCAATTTTTATACAATATATTAACCTTATAAAGTTAACTATTCTAGTATCTATATATCTAATAAATCAACCTACAAAGAGAATATTAAAATAAAATTATGATAAAAAAAATTGTCTTATAGATCTATAACACGTAGGGTATATCTTAGAGTGCTCCGTTTCCTGTTACCTGTTACCTGTTACCTGTCCTTCTCGGGAGAAAAGTTGGGCAATTAATTTCGTTGTTCAACAATTTATGTGGGAATATTATGTCTGCATGTACCCGTCTTGTACTGAGTTTGAGCAATCCAATAGTAGAGCGAATTTCAAAGAGCGAATGACTTCTAGCTGGCATGTTCATTTTGTAGGCAGCATATCTAAGAAATTTATTCTGAACTTTCTCAGTATCATAACTGTGGTTGAAGTATGTCTCGGAGACCAGATACAAGTGCAATACTCAATCACTGATCTAACCAATTCAAAGTATAGTACTTTAATAGAAAAAATGTTGGTAAAATCTTTTATTGATCTGCATATAAATCCTAACATTTTCATCGCTTTGTTAGATATGTGTTCATACTGTGAATGAAAGTCCATCGTGTCATCCATCATAACACCCAAATCTCATATAGATTGTACACATTCCAACTTCTTCCCTGCAATACTATAATGATGTAAGGTCCATTTGAATTTTCGCACAATATGGATAGGATTGGAACAATGAAAATGAATGGACAACCGCCCACTAGCTCGGCACGGCACAGCCAAGAGCGTCCGTCGCCGGCCAGCGCTTGCCAGCATAAACTTGTCCGAAAGAGCTTGGGAAGTTTCAGTCTTTCTGTTTTGCTAAGAAAAATTGAGTTGTTTGTTGAGGCAGGCTCTAGAATATCCAGAAGATCTGAAAATTTGTCTGGAGTCATTCGGAATTACTGGAAAAATTTCGCCTCGTTTTTTTTCAGATTGAAAAGATGATGAAACTCTCCCAGATATGCCCTCTTTTGATTTATGGTATCGACCCACAACATTATTTTTTGTGACTACTTTCTTCTACATTCAATAATGCGGCCACTATAATGACGACTTCTTCGTCAGAACTGCTAGTGATAGACATGTTTCTGTCACCGCTCGATTTCAAGTGTAATTCCCTTGAAATCAAACAAAGAGCACCTTCAGTATGCTGGTTGGAGCTGGATAAGTGGGCGATGCTACTACCTGTTACCATCGGGCGACGAACATCTCTGTGATGTGCTGTGCCGGACAAGTGAGCAACAAGCTTTACACTTCATAGTCTTCCTCACTTCCAAGTGCCATTTCTTAGCATTATTAACATTATAAACAAACACTGCAATCTTGCAGTTCTGGTGATTGTTAAAAAGTACTTTTTTTGGTTTTTATTCACCAATTGAGCTAGAAACTCATTTTTTTTATCAAACACATTTTTATATATATGGTAGTTACATTGTTGCAGAGTCTATTCCTATCCATTATAATAATAGTAATATCTACAGTTCGGGATTATCGAATCAACTCGCTCAAAATTTAAATAGTAATAGCCTTCACCTCTTCATCCTCATGATTCTAGAGTAAGCAAATAGAACTTGAAGACAAGATGGACCTAGCCAGTTACCTATTGAAGCCAGTCCAGAGAATGGGCAAATACGCCCTCCTTCTTCAACAGATGATGAAGGCCATATCTTTGATGAATTCCTCCGAGCGTAGCATCCAAGAAGTTGAAGATCTGAAGCAAGCAGAGGAAATGGTCCGGTTCCAGTTGCGTCACGGCAACGATTTGCTCGCAATGGACTCTATTAGAGAATGTGACGTAAGTGACACGTAACGGTGGTATTGGTGAGGTTATAACGACTTCCTTTACAAACAGGTGAATCTCAAAGAACAAGGTCGCCTCCTGAGACAAAACGAGTTCCTTGTGTGGGAAGGGCGAAGCGGAAAGAAATCCCTCCGGCAAGTATTCCTGTTTGAAGATTTGATTCTGTTCAGCAAAGCTAGAAGATTTCCAGACCGAAAGGTAACCCTTTCTTCAATCCGAAACCAATGTTACATAGATACTTTTTCAGAATCTCGACTTGTACATCTACAAGAATAGTATTAAAATGACCGACATCGGGCTGACTGCAAAAATCGGTGACAGTCCTACCAAATTCGAAATATGGTTTAGAAAACGAAAACCAAATGACACTTTCACTCTTCAGTCGATGACTGAAGAGGTGAAAAAGATTTGGGCTGAGGAGTTATCGCAGCTCCTCTGGAGACAGGCTATCAGAAATAGAGGTAAGCAATTTTCAGATACATACCAATGGCATATTTTCGAATGAATCCTATCGATTTTTTGTTGATATCATCTGCGAAAAATATATAGTTCGGTAATAGATATTGTATTTTTTGTGGGACAAGCACAGATCGCTAAAGCCTTACATAAGAAACGGCAAGGTTTCTTAATCACTAATTAGCAATAGAAATAATATGCATAATTAGCAATGTAAATAATATGACCAAATGTGCTTTCAATTTTATGTCTCAACATTTTTATATGTTACCAATTATTAAGATTACTACAACCGAACCTACACCACATAGTGAGTGAATTCAACTCAATATGATTTTCTAGATTATAATTGGCTACCATGATAACTTATTTCTAAAATAATTCATGAATGTTTCACTTTATGAAATAATCCCAACCTCCTATTACCTATTATGTTCATCTTTTTGGAGCCAACAAAAAAAGTCCCATTAGTTTCAAGAATATTTTCAATTTTCATTCCAATTTGTTTGTCGACGAAGTTGATTATTAATTTTGAGGCAGTTCGTTTCAACATAAAAGCTCTAATCATATATAGTCTATTTATACCTGCAGTGTATAAAAATCCTTTCAAAGAAAAAAAATCAGCTCTCCAAATTCAATTTCTCGGAAGAACTAGGTGTCATTAAGATGTTCAAAGACAATATGACAGAATCAGTATCCCCACAAAATCACTTAATCAACCCTTTTATTGAATGGAAAATCATACATTATTCATCGCCTACAGATTGAAACTTACTTTATTTTAAATGTTTATTTTCAGCTGTGAGAATGGCGGAAATGTCATCGATGGGCATAGGAAATAAACCGTGTCTCGACATCAGGCCGAGTGATAATCAGATCAGCGATAGATCTATCAGTTTTGCTCAACTAAGCCGAAGTAAGTCCATTCACATATTTTCACAGCTTTTTTCCGCTTCAAATTAGCTACTCAATAACTATACTAGAGCACAGCTTATATAGCTTCATATATATTTTGAAAGATTTTTGAAATAATTCTTCAAAGGCTTCTCTTTTGAATGATACTGTAGCCTAGCCCTGCTTTCATGGAACCATCAGCTAATCTAGGTGCTGTGCTAACTTTTCTCTATTTTCCCAATATGATTCGTTAACTAACACTTTTTAGGGTCCTCATATTTATCCAAATCAAATGAATCAAATGCATGCGTAGACAGTAAGAATTTCTAGAAATCAGGAACCATGTTTTATTTTGAATGTTGTGAATGTGAAGACGAATCATATTCATCTGACAGCTGAGATGTAGATAAGGATATATTATATTAAGGTGAAGTTTACAAAACAAATTGTCAATGTGTTATATAATTGTTTCTAGGTTGGAGATGTTGAAGAAAATGTTTACATCTATCCATTGAATTTTCATAATTTCGAAATTTGATTGAAAAAGGGAAAGTGCCAAGGAAAATGTGCAATTTATCTGCACTTGTCAGGGATCAAACATCTGTTGTAATTGATTTCTTGTCCTTGCTTTATAAAAAGTTTTCATAATATGATGCAGTAGGTAATATTAGTTTATATTGCATCCATAATTGAACTCTTCATGACCTCAAAAATGTTTACAATGTAAAAAACCTCATGGTTGGCGGGCCACACAACAGTTGTATTTCCCGCCAAGATTTATTTGTTATCAGTTCTCGATGTATTTTGATCTGGAATGAAATTATTGTTAAAAACACCAGACATATAATATACTATCAGGATACCTCGCAACTGAGGAATCGGTAAAGTAAAAGAACGCCCATGTGCTTACCAACAGTGTGGTCAATATTATTTATAACATAACTTACATAACCCTGTTCTTTGAGATAGCATTCTGCTGTAATGTCCGTTCCAATTACTGATTGTTTTCAATTATAATGGATTTAGATGTTAACAGGATCAAAAATGTTCAACAATTTCTTTGGCTCTATGATGGACATATCACCCATTTTAAAAATAAACTCATAAGAAAAATTGTTAAATGAAAACGCCCTGAATTTTCGTTTACAGCACATTCGACACTTTTTCTTCAACAATGTATATGAATGACCAATTCCATCCTTATTATTAAAGTGAAAGTTTAGTCCATGCACCAGCTTTTACAATATAAAGTGACACTTGTTATTGATCTATATATCCATTACGCAATTACCTTCAAAGGAACACTACTGAGACTTGAATAAAAATTCAGTGGGAAAAATAAATGTTATAGCCTGATTCAAACATTTAGCTGTTTTTTTTCAAATTTTCAAGAGTGTTTGTACAAAACACTAACAAAATGAGGTTCAGTCTTGGTTTATTATGTAATTTTTTTAATTCAACCAACATCATACCTGTTATCGTTACCAACATAGCAATAGTGTGTAATTAAATTTGCTCTACACGATCTAGCTTTTTTCTTTTCTTGCTTAAAAATATGCAGTCTGATCATCATATACCTACAAAAAACTGATGAATAGTGTCGTTATGAAAAAAGTTTTATCATGGTCAATATGTAGATATTGTAGAAACTCGTTACATTACTAACCTTAAATGATTTTGTGATAAAACCATATTATGATCAATCAGTTTTGTTGACAGCCGTCCCTCGGTTCCGCAACTCTATTGCCGGCCCCGCAGCGGAAGCCTACAGGATCGTCAAGAGGCCGCACTCCGTTATCTCCATGTCGAGCATTTCGTCTGGGAGCACCAGCTCCAGCGGATCCGGTGCGTCCGGTGGAACTCCGGTTTTACAAATCAACCAGCTAGGCCTCAGTTTTGATTCCTCATGTGACAGCCCGAAGCCCTACCACAAATCAGCCACGTTGAATAGCCAGTGTTCCGTAGGTATGTATGAAATTGTTAGAAATGGCATTTTATCAATTTCAGATATCTTTGGTCGTTTAGAAAATAATTGCCATTAGAGTAATGACGTCAGATTTTATTGCTCACAGCGAACTCTAGTAACAGGTCATGATGAGAGTGGCAACACTGTTCAGAGTCCTACATGTTGACAATGAGATTGAATTAAATAATAAAAAAATACCTAGTTCTTCTTTAATTTCACACATTTGTTGTTGATAATATATGTTAGTTGTAATTTGAAGAAATTCAAAAGTGTTTTATAATGAAATGTTTTAGTTTTGAGTGAAATTGTGAACTTCTTCGAAAACGGCAATAATATGAAGACAGTTTCAAACAAATATGACTTGTCGTCGATTTCTTACTGGAATCTGGATGTAGATCAAAAACCACTTCTGAGAGCATGGTTATCACAGTTTTTTCCACAAATGATTGGGCAATGTGTATAACTCATTTTCTTGAAACAGATGTGTTTAAATACAGTCCACTTACTTTCCCAGATAGTCATATCCAATATATCTTGCAAAGAACACCAACATTAGTAAACACAATCATTGGAAAAAAATCCTGATGAAAGACATCAGAATTCATTGAAAATTCATGATAAAGTAATGAATATGCTACATAACTGAAAATCGATATGGCAAAGTCCATCACAGATCGACTTGAATGCTTGATTCAATAATATAATCAAACCGCATATCTATAAGCATCAACCTTTCACTGTAGCCAATTTCCAGTGATCATCCGAAATATAGGGGCTACAAAAAATAATTACAATTAAAAGGGATTGTCGTAGATACCATGATTGTAAGTCATAAACGAGTCCTTGGATGCATCACAGTTTCAACTAGTAAATACCATCGTTGATACCATTTTGAAAAAAATAAAAGCTGTAATTTCAAATCTATTGCCGATACTTGGTAGGGGGTCTTTGTTTGGCATATACCATATGAAAATTAATAATTGTGATTGTAGTTTCATACTCCAAGGATAATGTCCCTCAAATACCTATATAGGTAGAATTGGAACCTCGGGCGTGAAATGAATCTAATGAGAACATTTTTCCAAACAGATCTAAAGCACTATCTTTCGACAAGCATTTCGATAGCCAAGTTACCATCATCAGGATATTTTTTAAACTCTGTGATAGACAGTGAGCTCCAATGAATATTTTTGGGCAGAAACATCGTCTACAATCAAATGTTTTTCTGTTCATATAAGCAGAGGGACAAACCAAAGATATGAACGTATACCAAAAGTAAAGTAATAAGAACTACACAAGAAGGAAACAATTGTTGAGATTAATAAACGGAATTTTCGCCGCAGTTAGAGATTATTCATCAGTTAAAAGTAAAAGGGCTAGACTAAAATAAACAGATCAATAACCGCAGTATACACTGGTTGATTGCTTCAAACTGGCATATTTTCAGCTTTGTAGGCAACACTGAAAATTGAAATTGGAAATGAGCCGAAGATTATTTACATGTTTTATGATAAAAAAAAACCTTTGTAATTGTGAATTTGAGAGCTAGAGAACTGTGTTAAAAATAAAACATCCCCAAGAAAGTGGGATGTACTCTTTCAATTGAAAGTTTAGTATAATCCCTTGTAATTTTGACAAATTTATTCAAATATCCTTAAAATCTGCGATCATTGCAATTACAATATATCTAATGTGAGGCATGGGTGTGCGGTGTTGCCAATTTTCTCATGATGGCTTATTTTGAAGTTACTGTGACCTTTTGCTTGCCAAATCCCTGCCATACCTATTCAAGGTAACCTAGAATGAAGTTACTGAATGAAATTGAACCAATGTTCAATAAACGCTTTTGCGATATTGATGGGAAGGTCTAATTTTCGATCTTAAACTAATTTTTTATTGCCATTCAAAGACACCATATGGGTGCATCTACACCAGTAATCCAAAAAAATATCTTGTTTGGAAAAATGGAATAAAAATATCACCATTGCTCACCAATGTGGGAAGGTCTACATGTCGAATATTTTTGGGGTTATGTTCGGCGTTGCTAGGTCTTTCACAATTTTAATCGATTTATTTCATTCTCAGTTTACTACTGCTTGATCCCTTCCAGAAATATGATATTTTGTACATCAAAATAAGCATATAATATTGACAGATACAATAACTGATGTTGTTAAACTTGAATCTAAAAGGAAAACAAATTTCATATACATATTTATGTATCTGTTAAAAAACATACATATGTATTTATTCATATTACTCATATTACTTATAACCAAGGTTATGAAAATTGACATTTGATTTTTTCACTTTTTTTCAGAGAGTGGCATCATAACAGATATGTCAGTGGGGTCCGATGAGTTTTCAGAGCAAACACACGCTACTGGTCTTTAGAGTATTTGAGCATTGAATCTATTTTATTTTTGTTATTATTATTTGGCTGTTTTAAGTCGAACCACACCATGTGCCAGGATATACTATACCAATTAAATTTAAGTTATGAAACTGAAATGAAATATATTTACTACTTTATTGATAGATTGCATGAATTTTTATAGTTGTTTTGCAACATATATTGTGTAAATATGAATCAATATTCCATTATTTTGAATTTTCATATCGTTTTCAATGCATGCTGATAGAAATTATTTCAAGTACCTTGCATCCAAATATCTTTATATAGATTTTTAATTTTTCTCATTTAATTTATTATTATGTTATAGTGTGTACTTAAATATCGTTTAACAAATCTTGAATTGAAAATTACGCAGCTTCAGGGAATTGACCACATTTTGTACATACACAAGAAATAGAGAACACATTTTCGTTCAAATGTTTGTCTACTAAACTTCAAATATTAATAGAAAAAAAACTAGAAAATCTGTAAATTCATGAATGATTTTTATAATACACTCTACTCTAGTATATTGAAATTTAATGGAATATATAAATATGTAAAAACCATCTTGAATGTTTTATTTATCATTGTCAAATCCTACTTCCTTATTGATTATTTTCATCTTTATGTTTATTATTATTTATTACCTATTACCATTACCTATAAGTAACATTAACCTGAAATAAAATACTTAATATTCAATAAACGTGAACAACTTTCAAAAAAAATATATAAAGAAAAATTCTTACCACATAAATTCAAGAGGAAGATTAAATTTCCTCTTGAAGATGATCACTTGATGATCGAAACACGTGTCGAGGTGTTAAAATAACGGTTTGATGTTGGGATCAAACTTCAGTAATATTCAACATTTTGTTTGCTATTGAATGAATAATTTTGAAACCATTTGTATTTCCTTTGATATTAAGGACATAAAGTGAAAAATATTAGCATTTTTGAGCCGCCATACCGATGTTTCAAAAATCTAGATGAGTAACGAAAACAGAAGACAAAAGTTTCAACATATATATTTCAGTATAAATAATAAAAATATAATATCACAAATTATTACATTCTATGTGGTTCCATAAAATGCTCTGAACAAATATATAAATTAATCAATATATTTCTCTCAAAATTGGACTAGACTGTTTTAAAAATGACCTTCTAAATCGGGCCTGCATTGTACGCCAACGCTTGATGGATCATAAGGACAAACCAAGGGTTTTTTTGCTTCGGGTAACAGGACACCTTTCAATCGACATTTTGGACAAGTATCAGCAACTTCTGCAGCTTTGACACAAGAAGAATGGAAACTGTGACCGCAGCCCCAAACTGTTGTCGTTTGATTCATATCCAGGTCTTTCCTGAACAGAAGGGGTTTGAGACATAAACTACAGGTGAGATCGGTAACGGAGATGCCTTTTCTATTTTTGGACAAATATTTCACCAAACCTGGAAAAAAATAATACATATAGAAACATGTGGATTCGTTTTCCAATGGCATTTCAGGTTAGCTTCCCAAATTTCTGCTACCACAGTTGTCGGTTGATTGGTCAAACCACCAACACTGACATAAAAACTTGGCGAATTGACTTGAGTGTCACACCAATAGGTGGTTTCACTTATGTCTCGCTTGCGTTTACACAATCATTTTCATCATGTACTTTTCTTGGTTATTCACATTTTGTCTTCAATCGAAGACCGTGTGCCCGGTACTGACGATGCCCAATAGGCTGAAACAGCTGTCTACTGGTGGCTCTTAAATTGGATTCAATATGGGAATCTTCCAAAGGAAGGACTGCTACACAATACTGTATATGAAAGAGGTAAGATTTCACCTACATGGAACATTGTCATTCTCAATGGCAGACATTCAATGTTTCGGAATAAGACACTTGTCTTATTTATTCAGCACCAATCCGAATAACATTACTCAATTCATTAAAAAAATTACGACTTTATGAAAAATTTCCAATTGGTGATATTGAGAATTGGAAATTTTAAAAGGGATTTATCCATTAATTTATCTCAAAGCTTTCTACAAAATAAAACTAAATTCACTTAACTTGCAAATGAATAACTATGAACAAATAGATACAATATTTCCTGTCCATGAAAGCTATAGATAATTAAAATAAAACTAAATTCACTTAATTTGTGAATGAATAACTATGAACAAATAGATACAATTTTCCCTGTCCATGAAAGCTATAGATAATTAAAAAATTTTCACAATGAATTTTATTTAAAATGTTTGACATGCTAGCTTTATCAGTTACTGGTACATCAAACCTGTAGCAAAACCCGTTTTGAATAGAGTTTATTGTGAAAATTCTATATTTAACACTATCATCATAAATAGTGTACTTCGAAGTTTTGGGTCTTATTTCCTCATCAACAACATTACAAGATGAAGCTCTCATTTCTTTCATAACATTACTACTGTACATCACCGAAATTGGCAACTTTGCTCTTGTCATGATGACAGTTCGTACAACATTCATGCAGTTAGTTAATTCAACCCCAGCCACAGGAATTGCATTCAAATTGAGAAAGAAATATTTCTAGAAAAGATTCGATTTTTTGGGAAAAAACCTTTTTAGCTTTCTACTCCACCATCAATAAACATTGAACAAACTGGAAGAAAAAACACTTTCAAAACAGCTACTTTCACATGAACATTGAATTATATGAAAAATTACTTTTTCCCATCTAGTTTGTACTCCAAACACTTGTTATGGAATTAAAACAGCTATACCCACTTATGATATTGATGGGAAGTTCTAATTTTTGATCTTCAACTGATCTATCTTTAACTGAGCTATTAAAATGAGCTATCGCTTATGGGAACGTTACACAACATGTAGTATGTCACTGGAAGATACAAATTTGCTCTTGTTATATTGACAGTTCGTATCAACATTCATATGGTTAGTTAATTCACTCCAATTCCATTTAAATTGAAAAGGGAATATTTCAGAGGATTTTTTCAAACTGCTTGGTATTCTAATTCTCCAAAAAATATAATTAATGATTGAGAAGTAGAAAGCCAAAAAGGTTTTTTCACAAAAATCTCTTGGGTTCTCTCTGCAGTTCAACTGAAACTGAGCAAGACATCTTCGAAATACAATACAATGAAAGCTAATAATGGAAACCTCACTCAATTCATCTTTACTTCATTCGAAATCGTCACCATCCTTTCTAGTATTTTGACATAGTACTGATGATACATAATGAAAGCATAAATGGTCTCCGTCCATCACACAAGATACAGGGTAAGAAAAAAAGAGTAACCACAATTCTTTATCAAACTTACCATAATGCAAGTCTTTTCCCAACAGTTTGAAAGTAGTGGACAACATTTGAATGTCGTGGGTATAGTCGTTTAGTATTCCTTGCAGTAATCCTTTAACATCTCCAAAGCTGGCGTTGGAAACTAATTCTAGAAGTTCTGCTGGTGGTACATGCGGAGCTGCCGAGTGCAAGAGCTGCCTCAGAGATATTCCAGGAGAGTCCCTTTTATTTTGGAGGAGGGTCAACCAGAGCTTCTGAGCACCTGAATACATAAACTTGGTGAAAAAACTATGCAGTTAATTGAAGTTTCAGAACCATGTTGATGTACTAAAAACGAAGTAGAACCTACCTATTCTTGTAAAACTGATACATAACATACATGGACTCCAGAGTAATATAATGGTGGTAATTTATTGGCTTCAAAACTATATAAATATATAGACATAAATTAATTCTACCCTCATTCGAAGAATGTAAACTTTCACGGCCGTAGATAACTGTATGAAAGCTATTTTCTGGGTTTTCTGGCCGTGGTCTGCAGGTTTTTATGTCTGACGTTTCGTCTACTACTGCGGTCAGCGAAGGACCCCTAGAGAACCTCTAGCAATGCCAGAGGTGTACCGGATTCCGTATAGCTGCAGGTTGGTCTTCATCAGAACCACTAAACAACACAAGAGAAACTGTCGCCTCGGACAAACCGACAAGTCGGCTGTGGCCAAACATGCTCTCAACAAAGAAGGTACCTACATTATCTCATTCGAAGACACGGTAATACTCGACAGTACCCAAAATTACAACCCAAGAATATATAGAGAGGCAATAAAGATTCAAAATCATAGGGATAATTTCAATAAAAAAGAAGAGACAATGAATATTAATGAAAGCCTAGCTACCTGTCCTTAGAGGTACACGAACACGAATAGGTAATACAATTAAGAACGTCATAAATAGAGCGCCCAGTACGGAAATAGTAGTTCATGCTTTTGATATAACAGGAACAAGAACCAGAGCACCAGCTCGGGTATTGCGACCGTTTCCACATCGCCTTTGAAAATGTACCGTCTCGAATCGTTCTTGCTCTCGAGGCTGAACTGTTGAGAACTGTTCAGGTTACTCATGCGCATTCATGTGGAAATTTGTTTGGGCTATTTTCTAGAATGTTTTTTTATTAATTCGATTTAAATAATTAATGATTGAGGTTAGATAACATTTGAACTGACTACAAGGATACGCTACATAACAAAATAGACATGATCAACAGTATTTTCTTGTCTTCATCTCTTCATATATACGATAGATGGCACAGTGGTTTCCTCAAAATGCGTTCTGGTTTAACCAAGTGTCCGACACTATTTCGGACTGTTTGGGATTTTTTTGTTTGTACCTACGCATCATGTCTTGCGCAGTTTCCAAACAGTTTCGGATGTTAGAACCAAAACAAACCTATTATTGTTATCATTCATCATGCATATAGATTAATAATTGATTGGATACTTATCAGACTGGTCAAGAAATAAGGAGGGTTATTTCATTAAAAAAATCAAATATATGACAGTGATAAAACACTAACAAAATATATACATCATTAAAATTTATTCATAGTTTAAATTGAATTTAAATTAAAAACAAAATCAGACTTTTGATATGATTACATTTCAGGAAGTCATTAAAATATCAACAAAATACCTCACTCACGAGCTTTGCACTATATTTTTGAATAACAATTCGCATCAAAGAAATATTATTGTTTTATAAACTGTTTTATTCTTCCTTTGATCTTTTTTGCAGAAAATCTAATCTTCTTGCAACGATTATTTTCTACTGGGGATATTTTTCTCAAATAATATTGACCTACGATAAAAAATATTCCGTACCTTCAGAGTCCAAATGCTCAGCCCCTCGAACACACAATGACACCGCCTTCTCAACCATAGAACAACTCAGAAGCAACTGCAAAGACTCCATCCACTCGCCGTCCTGTTCCAATAGGAAAGCCGTCGCTTCATGAACTTCATACTTTCTCGTCACTGCCAAAGCTTCTTCTACGCGACACGAACTTGCCTGCAAGTAGGGACACACTTCGCTTTTGTCTTTGATGCACAACTGTTCCAGATACTTTTCCGCGATGCGACTAGGAAGTTTGATATCGTGCGTAACGATCTGTCGCAGAAATGCGTACTGCAAGTCAAAAGAGTCCTCCAGCATAACGCACAACTCTTCGATCAGGTCCGGAAAGTATTCCGTCACTATTTCCCCTACACGTTCGCTGCTGATTGTCACTAGTTCCTTGAAATGCACTAAAAACTGTTGCTGGATGCACCTCTCTCTCACACCAATGAATCCTATGATGTAATTGAACACTTCGCCCCTGCGCATTGGGTCTTCTAGGTAACAACTGAGGATGTTGGAGTAATCCCCCTGGATTTCATACAGATATTCTGCGACCCGGTAGCACTTTGAACTCAGAGCCAAGTCAAGCAGATGGGTGACTTTCAGATGATTCAGTTTGTTCACATGCAGCAAGTCTAGCCAGGCTTGTTCTCGCTCTGTGCGGTCCCTCAAGCTCAGCGAATTCCCCACTTGTGTCAACGATTCGATAATTATGTTCATCATTTGCTGATCAATATTGAGTTTTTTTGATATGACTAGTCTCAATATGAAACATGCCAAGTTGATTACGTGGCTCTCCTGGAAAATGTTACATCAATGTCAGTATGAATTATAAAAATTGATGAGACAATTTACATCCGTTTCTCTTCCACCAATTTTCTTTCCTTTTTCATTTTCCTTTGATCATTTCAGTGACATCACCCGTCACCAACAAAATGTATAACTAGAATTTCTAACTTCTATTTCATCTTTTCTCTCTAATCTTACTCATGTTGTAGTTGTTATTCACTACAGGATAAAATGACAGAAACGAAAAAATCGACAACTAGAAAATGCGTTATCTAGAAACTGAACAAACAGATGTTCATCATTATACTGACTGGTTATTTATGATTTATTTGAATAAGCCACAGGTCTATCAACGAAACTATCCATGTTAATGCACCTGCCATCAACAAAACTAACCGTAATTACGAAATTACAAAATCTTACAAAACAAGAAGTATCTGGTTTGATAAGTAGAGGCTGAGACCAAATCTTAAAAAATTACAATTTATTCAAACATAAAATTTCACAATATTATCCATATCAGTTAGGCGGGTTGGCTGTCCTTGTTCATGTTTCACTGCCTGATCCTCTGTACATGCTGTTTTTGTCGAGTGCATTGGCTTGGGATGTGGGGGTTGAGCAAACCGGCCATTGGATGCCTGCTTCCACGTAGCTCCGCTGGATACTTGAATGGCAGAATCACTTGTGGTTCTGTTATTTCCTAACTGAATGACATCCCAACGATAGCTTAGCCTATGACACTGAGCCTATCAGCTGTCCCTACGGAACCTTCGAGATACCGGGCGCCCTCTCGTCGTAGCATCGCCTTGTCACGGTAATGACGGGCTCTGCCGTGATTGACTTTCTTTCCCTATCTACTCGTGGGACTTTCATGTACAGAGTAAACTTAAAAATTATTTCTGACACTGAGTCTATAGAGGAGATGGATGTTGAGCTTACGACTCCAACTGACCTCCCTGTAAATTTAGATCAGGACCGAGAGCTTCTCAAATCTACAACTCCTGATCCAATAACTGAACCTTGAAAAAAGCTTTGGTGGTGCAGCCAGGAAACGATTGAGTCGTCTCCTCAAGAGCGGGTTACCTTATGAAACTGCCTTGCACCAAATTCTTGAGCGGTGTACGCAGAATATGTCTCAAGTGGAGGAACAAACTCCCCCATGAGCAGGTTAGCAAATGTTTACGCTCAAGTGATGATGCACCAAAACCAGAGGCGAAAAAGCCCTGCACGTTTGAATATGAAGCATCTTCAGGTGTAGCTGACTTGCAAAAACCCTCATATGGGAAGGTTGTCGCGGGTATCAACGTGGGAACCTTGCACCTTGACTATCCGACTACCTCATTAATGATGAAACAGCGGAGCATATACTTTATGTCTGCCCCGAATCAGGTTTTTAGAGTTCGGCAGAGCCGTACTCTTACCATCTGACCTGAAAGACCACTCACCATTCAAACTAATTGGCTTCGTTAAGAAGCTGGGTTTATTTGGTCGGTGGAGGGTCAAATAGACCCACTAATTTTGGACCTAACCTAACATAACCATGTCAGCTAACATAAAGCAACATAGTATCACATCAGAAGCTGCTATCAAATACCTTGTAATTACATTCAACAACACAACCAAACTTGAGCATCCATGTAGCTCTCAACAAAATACCAATTATAGCGAGAGCATCACATTTCACAATCTCATTATATTAATGTTGATATATATTTTTTAGTATTCATGAATTATGTCTACAGATGAGATTGTGTAATTAAATAGATCTTTACACTGATTTCGGTATAACTGCAATGTATAATAGTACCTCGTTTTATGTTTTTAAATTTTTTGTCAGTAGTTTTTCAAAATCGAGTAAAAACAATGGTCGTGACGTCACTAACATTTGATATAAAATTGACAACACCGCAAAACTTATTCACATTACATAGTTTGATCTTCTTCTTTCTGTATTCTTGTTATTCTCACTATACGTGCGACATTGCCAACTTGTTTTTGGAGTCGACATAATGGTTAGGTCCGAGATTAAGCATTTCATATTATGAAACAACAACTTTATATTTCAAATTTTGTTGAAGAGGTATTTGACTGAGTAGTACTTATTCAATAGTTATGTTGTATATTCACTCATTTATTTTTTCTGTTTTACGAAAATCATATACATTTTGGAACATGGTTTGAAAAGGGAGGGGGGTGAGTCTTAATTGTAGTGACTTAAAACTTATTTTTGAAATATTTTTCTTCGAAATAGAAAAATGTGGGTGTTACTTCCCGATGAATGAACCGTTGTCCTATAGAACTAACAGATAATATTGATTTTATCATTTTTTTAGGAAAGTGTGAAGGTCTATTATATTTGAATTATGTTTTCATATGCTGTACATTTATATTAAGTAATCGCCTGCGTGACAAGTATTGTGACTCCAACATGTCATTGTAAATTATGATCAAAGCTATGAATGTAATTATCTAACAATCTATCTATCTAGATGATGTTTTTGGCATAACTAATGGAAATGAGTTATTAACTACTTGACTGGTGGAAAAATAATCAACTGTCACTGTTCAAGTAGTGCAATTTGTTCTCTCTTTCTTTGGCTCTCTCACATCTCTTCACATACAATCAAGTTTCTATTTCATCTTCTCAAAATCCTTAAAAGTAGGTAGTTACAAGTATTGTGACTCCAACATGTCATTGTAAATTATGATCAAAGCTATGAATGTAATTATCTATCAATCTATCTATCTAGATGATGTTTTTGGCATAACTAATGGAAATGAGTTATTAACTACTTAACTGGTGGAAAAATAATCAACTGTCACTGTTCAAGTAGTGCAATTTGTTATCTCTTTCTTTGGACCTCTTACATCTCTTCACATACGATCATGTTTCTATTTCATCTTCTCAAAATCTTCAAAAGTAGTTGAAAAATATTTTGAACTTACCGAAAATTCTTCAGAGGTTACAATTTGAAGCAGAATCTGCACAAGTCTTTGCCTTTGCAAAAGACCCATCTCGCCAGCAAACTCCGCTTCGGTAAATGCCAGCTCTACTACATTCAAACATTCCCTAATGTTATATTTAAGAAGAGCTCTCAAATAGGGATATGTCGGTTCATCTGGTCGGCAATTAATTGAATGAACCGTTTCTAAACACCTTAATACGTCGTGCTTCACTCTCGGAATGTCTTCTTCGGGTATGTTTCCAGTAGGATAGCCCAGACCGGCTAGACAGGAAGATACATACACCAACATTATGTTTCCTTAAACAATAGATAAAAATTATGGAAAGAAAAAATGACTGAAACATACTGCCTTATAAAAAATAGTACCCACCTAGTTTGTGATTGTCTGGAGTTAATTCACCCACGAATTCTGCCAAAGGGCTGGTAAAATCCTTCAGAGTTTTCGTAGTTATATGTATCCAAGCGTTGTACAATTTCTTAGCCTTGCATATTTTCAGGACCTGGTGCAGATCCAGACAGGCTATGTCTAGTGATAGCAAGACTTTCTCCAGCGAGTAGGGGTCTTTCTCTTCTAAATACTTTACCAAAGTTTGAGCCACGGAAGGCCTCAGTTCGGACAGAGTCCCCGTACAAATGTGGTCTGTCAATAATGTATAGTACCAGTCTTGATTGTTTTCATCAGTCGTTATGGCTTCTAATAACTCGTTACATAGAATATCACTAAATGAAATGAGAGGAAATTAAGAACTGAATGTTAGATAGGATATTTTTAAGATTACTTTATGAAAAGGAATGTACACTTCTGTTCATTATACAGGGCTATTCAAATTCGTTTCTGTACATGGGAATCTCGTAAACGATAAGAGATAGAGTGTCGGGTAAATTGTGGCAAAGTTGCGTATTTTAGAGACCTATTCAATGATGTAAAAAAATCGAATATAGCTCTTTTGGTTCTGGAGATATACAGGAAAAACCAAAAAATCGCTAATTATTTTTTTGCCTATATCTTCTTTATTCACAGACACATTGAAAATCTGTCAACATTTTGCTATTGGCACTTTATGTAGGCTATCAGAATATGTCCATGAATTTTTTATACAGGGTGTCATCTGANAAAGTTTGAGCCACGGAAGGCCTCAGTTCGGACAGAGTCCCCGTACAAATGTGGTCTGTCAATAATGTATAGTACCAGTCTTGATTGTTTTCATCAGTCGTTATGGCTTCTAATAACTCGTTACATAGAATAGCCCTGTATATCAAAAATTTGATGAGAAAACTAGTTCAAGGTGAGAAATTATTTCAAACTCAAGAAAATAGATTGTTTTCTTTATTTCTTGCGAATTCAGAAATCGTAGGTAGTTTGAATAAATTTATTGTTCGTAGACCAAAGGTATTATTATATTTCATAAATGTCATTTATGAGTTAATGCAATATCTTTTGTTCAATCTCAACGTAAAAAATGACTAGTCCACCATCTTGGGCTTTCCACCATATTGAATGTAGAATGACGTCACTTAGTCATCCAAACTAAACCTAAGAAGAAAACGTCTGTGCTTCTGTGTCAATGCCGACTTGTCAAAAACTAAAAATGTTCTTAAAATTCATTCCTCATCAAGCAGAACTTTTTTGGCGAAAACTATTCATTACATTATTATAGTGGCCGATTTACAAATTTTTAAGGTATAGGCTGAACAGTTTTTGCCACCCTTGCCTCCACAATTGTCATGACCTACATTATTTTTACCATCCAACAATTTCGTTGAAATTGCACGAAAAATAATTTTTGAGTCTATTTTTGAGCTAATCAAAGTTCAGTCATGTTCGAGCAGAGTAATGTATGCTACTTACACAATAATGTACTTTTGTTAAACGTGAATAAATCATCTTTATTGTGCCTACAAACAGTTGAAAATAATCAACTTATTCGAATTATAAAAGTTCGTTACAATACCTTTTTGCACGATTTTTTTTTTGGCCAAATCATCGATGATATCGTCGTAAGTAATATTCATTGATTCCGACTCTATGCACAAAAGAGTTAGAGCGTTTAATTTTACTTGGCGCAAGGTCGATCTCAGATAATTTTTCACCATTTTTAGACAAGAAGAGCTTCTATCGCTTCTATGGCCATATGTACAACAGCTTCGTCGCTGGTGTACATATGGCCATACAAAGGGTTATGTCCAAGTTTGGGTAAACGTTATGCAAACTCTGTTTTCTCAAAAACGAAGATAGACTCTCTAATGATGTAGAATCCGGTTCAACCAAACTGCTTTGCGAAGACATGTGGCTTCAAAAATATATGCATTCTTGAACTAACTTAGTCTCCAAATCATTAGGATACACTTAGGCAGTTCAGAGAGTGAATCGAGCGGATAATATTCAAATAGTGGAAATAAATTAAGTGTTAGTTGCTAAGTGTTGTAAATAAATTAGTTGGTGATTAGTGAAATATTGTTGGAAATTAATTTGTTTAAGACAGTTAATTCTTTAATTTCTTACAATATTATTGCCCAAAGCACTTCAATGATATTTTGAATATCAAGAAGTTATTACAAGTTTTTATTTATTCAGACAATTTATTGAAAGCGAAAAGTGAATCATGTGTTAATCTTTTTTTAACCAACTACAGAGCTTGCAGCATTGATATTAAATAGATTTAGTTGCCTAGTTTCACGAGTATGGACTTTTGAATTCCATGTTAACGTAAGATTATATTTTTTTTAAATCACAAAATATGCACTTTTGAGTCTGTCCTTCCAAAATGAATTTCTACTTGGGTATACCTGATTCGTTGGAGTGTCTGTCATATGAAAGACGATACAGAACTTTTATTGTTTTATTACAAAAAGTGGAAATTCAGTGTGACGTGACAGTCAGATAAAAAAAACCCATAATTATTTTGTTTCAAGATGGAGAAGTAAAAAGAAAACTTTTTTCCTAAAAATGATCCAAAGTTTATAAAGTGCCATTCCAAATTGCTTACTATTTACTGTTTTATGATCAGTCAAAAAAACTGATTATTCAGTCAAAAAACAGCGTTTCTGTGAGTATATTACTGATACAAATAATACTTACATTTTACCTAATTTCACACAGCAGTTAATGGCAGCTGTAAGACTGTCTTTGTCGACTGTGTTCTGATTCAGATTCTCTAAATACCTGTTCAGCAATATTAACGTGAACCTTTCCTTGCTGGTTCCTTCTTCAGCTGCCAGATTGAGGGCTTCGGCCCATCTACCTTGGTCACTGAGATACATCAGTCGTTCTGGCCATGTTCGCAATTTGACCATGTGGACAGCTTTAGTACCCAAGATGAGGAGCTGGTCACCGCGACTCGACAGACTATTATAGCAAGCCCTTTCGCCTAGAAATATCTAGCCCATCAATTATTCTTCAATTTATGTGAATGACAAACAAATATACCAAGTTACAGCTAGTTTAAAAAAAACAAAGTATTGATTAAAAATACAATAGAAAGCTCTATAAAATGAAAATATGTTTCTTCAATTTGTTGAAGTATATAACAAACCAAGTGAATAGTAATAATTTCAAAACATTTTTTACCCCAAATTTTTCATAGAACTAACATAGTTAAAATGAGTTCAAGAAAAAGGAATTTGAGAATTATCAAAAATCCTTAAGTCAGCAGTGGTGTGAAACAGGAAATCAATATTAAACCTTTGAAACCATGGTATTCTCAAGACAAAGAGTCCTTATATACTTCACTTTACCAAGTTCTATCTTGAAAAACTTATATACAGTATACAAATTGAAAATACTGAGATGGAACAATTTGCTCACATATATTTCATGCAATGGAGGATCTTAGTAAATTTTATGTAATGATAATTTTTTAATGAGTGAATTTGATAGAATAAAAAGCATGGAAAATGTATAGACGAAGAACTCAAAAAAATAAGCAAACCGCAGACACGTGTTTCTAACTCATTAGCTGTCATAAGTACCACGAGGCAGCTTTAGCTACCTGCGTGACAACCAAGTCCAGTATTCCATATGTCTGCGGTTTGCTTATTTTTTTGAGTGCATCGTCCATGAATATTCCCTGCTTTTGATTATATCAAATTCACTCATTAATGAATATGGTTTTTGAAGAGAGAAGACTCATATATTGAAGATTTGAAGGTTATACAAGGAGTTAGCTAATCGAAGAGTTTTGGGATTGAAGCTGTTGTATGAGTAACTGAATCTGTGAAAAGAAACATAAAAGGCTGAACAACCAAGGACAGGTAGAGATAATTTGGTGAGAAGTTCGGGGCTGGTACTGAGTCCGTTGATAATTTTAAATAGAGGAATCAACTATCTATGTTTCCTGCGTGCCCCATTCTGAGTTAGAGGTCGTAGGTCTTCGATAGTGTCTCATAAAATATTTTATTTATGGTATACATTAACAGGTTATTTTTTTATTGAAACATTTTTGACAAATAAACAGCAGTACATACTGTAGTATGTACTCCATGATTACAAAAAAACAATACATAATAATAGTCATCATCATTTTCGTCGTCAACAGCATCATTATCATCAAATCTGTATTCAAGAAACACTTTATTATGAGATTTTCACTAAATATAAATAAACAAATATTGTCTAAGTTTGATATTTTTAACAAATGAAGTTCCCACATTTTTTTGTTTAATGATGAAGAATCAAAAAGCCTTAAAGCTTCTTACCAAAAAATTGATCTCTCCCTGATTGATACATGTATAATAATTATTAATGTAAATGAATTTAAAAATAGTAAACATTGTTGTTATACTGTTTCTTTTATTCAGATAATAATAATAATCTTTATTTCAAAAATATGCCGACTATTACAGCTTGTACACAGACAACATAGAATGAAATAATGTCAACAAAAAAAAAGAAAACTACATATACTCATACATTTCTATAATTCGGTATGGTCTAAATAGTCACTAACACTATATGGTTCTAAATCTATTAAACTTTTTTTTTATTTCTTTCTTAGATCAATTAATGCTTCCCAAATCCTTGATTCGATTAGGTTAATTATTATACAGCTTCATTGACATGTAATTAGGAGTCCTGAGTTTGAGAATATTAAACCAAACACAAAAAGTTCTCAGAATTATTTCATAAATATAAGAATGTATCTAAATAATAATAAAACATTAAAGTTACTCTTCACTGTGAATCACGACCCAATTCTGGAGGACAAAATACCGGTAACTGTGTGGGAGTAACATTAGATTGTAAGCTGACATGGACGGCTCATAAAATCAATGTCAGAAATAAATTAGTTATCTGTGTGTATCTCTCGAAAATATTAAAGATAATGTATATAAAAGTGTTGGTCATATGGCCTACCATGCTCTTTCAAAATCCTCGTAACGCATAAAAGGGTCCCAGAAGGGACTTCCGAACTTTGACAATTGGTAACGGCTGTCTTGTTGAAGCTACATCTGTCAAATTAGTTGTCATTTATTCAGTATGTTTCGCAAAATCCCCATGGATGGATATAGCATTCCACAACACGTGCAAATAATTAAATTGTTTTATTTTTGGCCTGAATTGGATGATCAGGATACCAACGACATATGATTTCAACGGAGCGGTCCTACATGCCACACAGTTCATGCCACATTGGATATTCTGCACGAACGATTTGAGGGCATGGTCATTTCACGTGGAGATGATGTGAACTGGCCAACCGACTTTTCCTTGTGGAGTTTTCTCAAGTCGCATGTGTATGCGAATAAGCTAAAAACCACGACAGTCCTCAAAGCCAACATAACCCACACCATCGGTCAAATGCAGCCTGATTTATGAACCAAAGTCATGGATAATTGTACGTTTCGGATGAGCTCCACCCAGAGAAGTCGTGACAGACATTTAAATGATGTTATATTCCATACATAGATAGATAGATAGATTTTATTGGTCCATTTAAAAAAACTTTTACAAATTATAGGACACGTCAAGAAAAAAATCATATAAGTGAAATGATACAAATTTGTCGCTTTAACAGATTCAAAACATAATATATACAAACAAATACAAACACTTATACTTACACACTTATATACTTATACCAATATGTACATATATATATAAAAGAGAAGGTATTATTGAGTGTCCATGATTTAATTTTTCTTGAGTATATATACACACATATATTGCACATTTAAGAACATTCAAAAATACATGTTTGTTCAATGGGAAAGCATTTATTGACGACTTCGGTAAAATTCAAGTGAAATAAAGTTAATGCTTCTGTAGAATTCGGTGTATTTCTCAGAGGACTTTCATAATATCTGTAATGTATGTGGCTGCTACGCTCCTAGTATAGGGCCAAGGGCGCATGCCCAGAGAACAGTCTCCAGATCAGGAAATGGTGGGGTCAGTATCGATCGACGGCAATGGTTGTATCTATGAAGTGTATAAAGCAAACAATGTAAACATGGTCGTACCTGATGTGTATATATGTGTGTGAATATCTCTGGATATTATCGATGTCAATAAACCTATATCCACCCGAAATATCAACAGCCTTATTTCCACCATCACCTACATAACAATATCCTTTAGAATTCAACATAATTCTTTTTGTTATAAATTTCGCAATATTTAACATATTTATGGTGAAAGATTGATGCACTTACAGAAATAACTTCAATCACATTCTTCAACTGATGGTCACTTGATTTAAGAAACATATAATCAATGTGATTAAAAAAGTTGCATTCTAACGTTTCACCAGCACGAGTGGCTGGCTAAACGTTAGTATGCAGTTCCAAACTACTACGGCCTTCAAACCCAAATGAAGATAGTAACACTGAAAACATTTGCATCTGGCTATTTCGTTATCTAGTCAGTTTTGAGAGAACAAGATACAATATTTGCAAAATTTGTTAATTTTTCTTTTGATCCTTGAAATAGTTAAATATAAATATATCTATTCTTGATAACGCCTACCAGTCGCACTTTAGTATAACTCATACTAATTTGATCATACTTCCCCTGCCCACGATTACGATGGTAAAGATTCATTAATGTACAATGGAATAAAAATGTACCATAAAATGCCGATAAACCAGAAGAGTTACAGTTAAAAAAAAAATAAGTCGTCCCCCTACAAATATGACAACNGAAACTTGTGTGAGCTAAGGACCAACGAGGTCTTACCTTTGTGAGTCGTGTGAGTCGAACTCTGTAATTATTTTCAAGAAGAAATGAATTTAAATGAATTTTATAATGACGAGTCATTTCATGAATTGTATAGTTGACTTATAGTATCTTTGTATGAGGTGATACCTATATATTTTGAAAGACAGTTTTAATTTGAATATTACCTGACAATTTGTTTAACTATAATGTATATGACGTAATCTACTACATGTAGATGAGAATATAGTAATTACTATTACATTGTTTTAACATAATACTAAAACAATTGACAACAGGAACATGTTTTCTTGTGGCCAATAAACGTATTCCTCTCTCTCTTCAAAATTTGAACAGTCATATTAAATTACACTAGGTGAGTATATTAGCAACAGCTACAAAGTTACTGAAAACATCTTTCATTACCTTGGATAACGTCGCCATCGCTACTAGAACGTTGCGACTGAGAAAATTTATGTCATGTCCCCTCACAAGCGGCTCGAAAACACAAACTTCGCCCCGAGCCCCGGAAAAGAGACATTTGGAATCCCAGGATCGAACGCCTAGTCTTCTATTGAATGACAGAGAGAACACGCAACCCGAGGAATCTCCGCAAAGTGCAAGATTACTCAAAAATGTGAACCTCAAATAGAGCACAGCAGTCTGAGGAGCGTGCGCGTCTGGAAGTCTCCTCAACACGTCGCCAGAGGAGGCATCAACCATTGAAATGTAACCCCGTTCGTAGCTGAAAGGAATGAACAAATTAAATTTTTATTCAACAAAAGTCATTTTTTGTTGAAGAAAATCAGTTTTTTATTGACCTTTTTGAATATTCAGATGTCAGAAGTCGATGGTGATTTAAAAAAATATGGATTTGCACCCATTCGAGAAAATTTAACATTCTGAAAAACATCCCAATAGATATTTCCCACAAGATAGATATTCTGTCCTTTCCACAAGTGATGTTTTACAATTGCTGGAATGAAATGGCAATATTCTTTTGTGATATTCATTAAAAGATCGCATTTGTTGCCCATTTAACGCTATAAGCTATGAACCAACTCCGGGATATAATATTTTTTCAATAACTTTTTGAAAAAAACTCCTGGCAGGCATCATAATGCCTTTGCATTAATAATATATTTCGTCCTCAAATTCACCCTTTCCAGCAACGGATTCAACACCCAATTCCTTATGCCCATAATTGAAAAGAAGTAGTCGATACATATTGAAAACTGATTAATATAGTTTATTGTATGATTTCCACTATAAATGTGAATTATAGAAATAATCATACAATAAACTTTATTAAAGTTTTTTTTTCTTATGCCCAACTTACAATCTGTTGTAGGTTAGAATCTAACTTTGAACAGACATTTTTCTGAGATTTTTTACAGATAAAGTTAGGTTGATTCGGCAACGTTACAATTGTCGACAGGACTGCAAATAGCTAAGATGTTTCTAGGTAGCTTGGGAAGTTATTAACATTGCATATTCAGAACACGAGGCTAACTACCATATCAGTTGATGCTAATGATACAAAAAAACAACTAATTCCAGAGCCTTTCTGAACTTAAACTAACAACGAATTTTACTGAAATTTTGTAGTTAATCCAATGATATCAAAAGGAACTGGTACATTCAATACTGAATGTGAATTAAACATCGCTGAATAAACATCTATAATATATATTGAAAATTGAGGATAAGTTAATACGAATAATAAATTTACAGAAGTGGATTTTGGAATGTACTTTTTAATGATATTTTGTTTTCTAAGTTTTGGAAAAATACTCTTGTAATTTTTTAAACCCTATTTGAAATTGCACTTCGACTGCTCTTTGAGGTCAGAATAAAATCACAACTCCTACATATTATATTCAAAGACTTACCCTACAAGAAGTCTTGTGGATTCCAAATTGAAAGACAAAGCTGAAACAGCACCTTGATCAGAAGTTGTGATATCATGACAGCACCAGCATAAGTTCTGCTCACAGTCAAAGGCTAGAATATATCCATGGGATGTCCCAACAGCAATATATTTTATGCTGTTTGTTACAGCTGTTGGTAACCCAGCATTCACTCTCTCCTCCACGACAAAAACAGAACAATTACAAAATTCGTTTTAATAGCTTGCGCTGTTCTTGGAAAAAAGTGTATAAGGCTTATGTATTTTTGTCCTCTTATCATGAATCTGAAGTTAAAACTTTGCACTTTTACTTTTTGAGATATAGATGCTGCAAAAACAAAAAATATTGAGATGCTCTGGATGTTGCTCCACTTGCTCCTTTCACTTCTTTCCATACCTTCAATTTTCCCAAAATAATATTTTGAGAAAAATTAAGTGCTCAAGTAGTTCTCAAAGCTCAAGTAATCTCAATGCTTGAGTAGTCTCAACTACTCAAATATTTCTCTAAGTTGAGAACAACTCCAGCACTTCGACCTTTACTTTATCCCTTCGATGTCTACCGCAATAGTAGACAAAACGACAGGCATAAAACCTGCATACTATGGCCAAAAAACCCGAAAAAGAACTTTAACAGTTATCTCTGGCCATGAAAGTTTACATTCTTACATCATAATTGTTTATAAAACCAAATGACAACTTCACAAGGAAATGTTTTGTTGTTTATGTTGGAAGTATTACAAAATTACACCAAAACTGAAAGGGCTATCGTCAAATTTAAATGGCTATTGAAAAGGCAAGGAATGCCACTTTCATCTTTCAGAAAATTTATTCTCCATCACTGATTCCAAGTTTGTTATTTATGTAGTGATTCATATTAAAGACGGCTGTCTTCAATCAATCACTTAAAATATACTTTGTCTTAGGATGTTCTTTTATTAACAAAGTCTACAAAATTTAGTTTTCTATAATTCCAAACTTCTTCTGTGTTCTGAGATTCTGGTTTTGAGATTTCTAGATGTTTTGCCACTATAAACTTTTGAGCATAAACAGTTTCGAATTAAAGAAATCCAATTGAATCAACAGATTCAACTTTCGACTAACAATATCTCCCCGAATAGACAACTTCAGAGTCATGATCAGCAAGCAAAAATGTGAAAATCTAATAACAATTACTTTTTAATTTGCCATTGAAACATATAATTATGAGCCTGATAATTTTGGGAGCTTACTGCAACTATTAAATATTTACCCCTGCTGAGCTGATCTGAGATGAAACACCTTTCAAAATACAGTGATATAGCATAGAACGGAATTTACTCGTCATACTCTGGAATGAATGCAAGGAAGCATTATCACTTGCTTCCGATTCCATGTCCCACAAGACGCTTTCAAGGGATGGGGGAGCAACTTGGGGGATATCGAATTCTAGATCGTTGATCTGAAACATATACACAAAATAGGAATGAAAAAAACGAAAATATGAAATAAAACCTCTTTCAGATCCAGTAAAGATTCATCGGAATCTTCAATTTGAAGATCGTCGCTTTCCGAACCCATTTTCAAGCAATTATACTCATATATTTTAATATTTTATTAAAATGATCTCATCGTAAGCTCCCAGGGGAATACGCTGATTTTTCGTTCAAGTTTGTATCAATATCATATTGCAATCGGAAATCATAGAATACAAAAATTAAATGAAATTGTTGATTAGATGATTAGTAACCTTACATTTAATCATTAGTAACCTTGACAAGATCATCTTCTTTTTTATCTTAGATAGAGTGGTTGTGTTCCGTGAGGTTCCGTAAACACCGTGATGAAATATAAATGTTAGTTGTAGTCCTCCCAGTGAGCACCCTAAGGGAGCAGAGCCAAGAAGATAGAAAAAGAATGCAAATGTTACAACCGATAAGCAAAAACGCGTTCAATTCATTATACGTGAATCGAATACTAAAAAAGCGTACAAGAATCCGTAATAATATATTCCCTCAATTCACACTCATAACTATGTACCCACAGTAACAACTGTAACAATTTCAACTGAGAATTCACACTTATAACTGTGAATTCTCTGTCATAAGTAAGCATTCACGATTATAAGTGTGAATTTTCAGTTACACATGTAAATTGCTAAATTCACAGTCATAACTGTAAATTAGGACAAGCGTCTCTAGACAGGAATCTCTTCACATCTACACTTCGCACTCGACATAATAGATGTCATGATATGGTGATATGAGGCAAATGGTAAATTAATAAACACTGTCGATTCTTTTTTTTTTCATAAGAAATTTAGAAAAAAAATCAAACCTTGGTTTGATAGTCAACTATTACAATTAATTAAAGAACGTGATAAATTTTTTTTCGAAAAATGTTTCCAATCCACAATTCATCTATGAAAAATATCTAACTTCAATAAAATGGTAATCTGAAATTTGCGAAATAATGATCATTTTGTTGCGATTGGAAAAAAATTGTCTTCTACCATCCCAAATATTTTAAGACGATCTAAAAAATATTCAACCGTTTTTAGGTCATGTTTTTTATGTCATTTAGTTTAACTGAAATTGAAAAAATGATAGAATATTTGAATCCAAGAAAAGCTTCTGGCTTTGATGATATTAGTATAAATATTGTTAAAGCAGTCAGAACTGAAATCCCACCAATTTTATTCTTTGTTTTTTCAAAATCTTTCGAAAATGCTGTAATACCTAACAATATAAATACCTATTTATAAGAATGGAAAAAAAAATGATCCTCACAACTACCGCCCAATCTCAGTATTATCAATTTTTTCCAATATTTTAGAACAATTAATGCATAAAATATTGTTTGGAAAACAATAATCTTTCATATAGTGATTAGTATGTTAATCCCTATTTATAAACATTTAATGTTTCTGAGGATAATGAAGACAAATCAAATATGCTTTCTATTTGAACTAAAGGGGTTATATTTTTAGGAGTGATTAATTTTTGGGAAAGAAAGTTTTTGGCTTTTTACAAAAAAAAATTCTTCCGAAACCTTGTTTCGAAAGATTTTTTTTCTTTCGTGTAATTCAATCTTTATATGAAAGTAGCAGGAGGACTTTCTTTCAGTTTGTGTCTGAAAGTTACTTCTTTGCATGATCTACACATCCATGTATAGAGTTACTTATTTTCAAATTGATTACTTCCTTCCTTTCTTTGGAAGATTTCCTCATCCTTTTTTTTTTAATCAAGATGGAGTAGTAGAAAGCCAAAAACTTTCTTTCCCGATGCTTTCTATGTTCTAGTTGCACCTGTGGTTGCACTAGTTGAATCTTACTTCGGCTAGTTTAAAGGCTAGTTCATGTTAGAACGAACATCGCATAAAAAGTGCGATTTAAAATGGCGTCGTGTTTATCGTAAAAAAGTTGAAAAAATTGAACTTGCGATTTCTGCAAGGTTATATTGCTATTTTATTTGACTCTCGTTCTTTAAGCCCATACATTGAAATTGAATCCGAAATGGAAGAATGTGTCAGGTTGTTCAAATTATATCAACTTTACCGTATATATAAAGCTTCATCGAGAAGACCCCATCTTTATAGTGCGAGAAATATTTTCAAAAACAAGAAAATATGGAGAATATCACAACCTTGTGGCTGAAATGAGAATTAAGGCTAGTTCATGTTGGAACGAACATCGCATAAAAAGTGCGATTCAAAATGGCGTCGTGTTTATTGTAAAAAAGTTGAAAAAATTGAACTTTTGTGCGATTTCCGCAAAATGTTATACATCAACATACAACATTATATTGCTTTGACTCTCGTTTTTCAAAGCCCATACATCGAAATTGAATCCGAAATGGATGAATGTGTAAGGTTGTTCAAATTATATCAAATTTACCGTAAAAAGCTTCATTGAGAAAACCCCGTCTTTATAGTGGGAAATATTTTCAAAAATAGAAGAAATTATGGAGAATATCACAATCTTGTGGCTGAAATAAATGAGAATTAGTGATCCAGAGAAATATTTCAACTATTTCAGGCTCACTCTCTCATTATTCAATAAATTATTGAATTTGGNTCAACAATTTCAGCTCACTCTCTCATTATTCAATAAATTATTGAATTTGGTTGGCCCCTCATTAAAGAAAACTCATTTTGCAAAAGAACCCCTCGTCCCTGCAGGCAGTAACGTTAAGATACATGGTTTGAGGACACACTCCTATTAAACAAAACTTGAGAAAATTGTTAGTCCTATTTTCTGATATGATGGGGTCTGGTCTTAAAAGTCGTAATTCGTATGAGTCGTATGTCATCATTCAGGTTCATGTAATAAAATTTAAAATTCAACAATGAAATCCCTAGATATTGCCCGCTTCAACATGAACAGGGTATTTTGACGATTGGGGCAAATTTGCGAAACCGCAAAAATATTATCGCAATCGTTCTAATATGAACTCGACTTAACGTGTAACGTGTTGATATCTATTGTGCCGAGTATATACAGTATATAGTGTATATGCGAGGAAGACGCTGATCATAACTCACAGTTGTTACTGTGAATTCAGTTGTATGTGTGAATTTGTCAATTCACAGTTTTAACTGTGAATTCACAGCTATAACCGTGGAGAAAAATAATATAGATTTCTGTAGCCCTACTACGCTTTCATTGTATACAAGTATAATCTATTATAAATTGACAAATCACAGGATGTCCCTCTGACAGTTCCTAAATTCTAACCAAACTCAAGTTACCATTTCTTATTTTACTTTTTTTGCGATAGGCTCATTGGTCCGGTTAGACATGACTTCTAAAATATTTTGATAATTATGTATGTACAGAAGCGCAGAAAGGCCACATATTTTCATTATTTGTTTCTTGGAAATTACGACTTTGAAAATAGAAATTTCAACTTTCATTTCGAAAGATTGACTTCAATCTCGAAATTTAGATTTTAATCTCGTAATTTCGAAATTACGACTTTAATTTCGAAATTTCGACTTTATTCTTGTAATTTCAAGCCTGAAATTGTAATTTGAAGTTGAAAAGTCGTAATTTAGAGTTCAAAATCGAAATTTCGAGATTAAAGTGAAAACGAGATCCAAACTCTTAACTTCCAAAAAACAAATAATAAAAATTTATGGCCCTTCTGCTTTTCTGTATATATGGATAATTTTAAGTTTGTTCATAGATCCAACTTCAAATTAAAAGTGGTATATTTTTAGAAGAATCATTTTTTGTAAAAGGTTTTGGATTTTTAAGGAAGAAAACTATTAATTTGCGATATCATTTCTACACAATTCACACTTCTGAATTCTCAGTTACAAACTGTAAATTAACAGACTCAAAGTTACGACTGGGAATTCGCACTTAAAATTCTAAATCATGACCATCATGTGCAGAATGCAAATTCCTCGTATACATACTCTGCCCAATGGATGTCAGCATATTACTTATTTTCATGGCAAATTTATTAAGATCGTTCAAAACCAATCTATAACATAACCTAATCTACGTTACATTCAGTGAATAGGAAAAATTAAGAAGATGAGTAAGGGAACCTGACTGACAATTACTGTCAAAATATGAAAATAGTTATTTTATAAAGATTTGGACAATTTAAATAGCCGAAGACTTGTCTTTTGTTTATTTTTTATGTTGATTATTTATCATCGTACGAAATTTATTACTTAGATATTCTTATAATCATAGTATGCTATTAGAGATGCAGTCATTCACAGCCTTCATGGTGAGAATTGAATATATCTATCCATTATTCATTTAACTGTAGAAATATGTCTTCTATTACAGAATGTAGAAAGTACTAGGTCGTATATGGACGACTTATATTCCCAAGATCCCAACAAATGCTTGTCCTCGATAATATGCATCAAGAATTCTGTAATTGGCTCCAACCGCCAGAAAGGGAGCGTAATTGCACAGGGTATAGTACCTCGATTAATTTATCTGCTGAAGGATAAAAACACAAAGATAGAAGTTAGAATTGAAGCAACAGTAACAATAGGATCTCTAGCCAAAGGCACTGCTGACCATGTAGAACTTCTTTTACACTCGGGAACCTCTCAAATTCTCCTTGATATCTTGGAAGAAACTGAACCTCGACTAATTGATGCTGCTCTGTGTTGCCTCCGCTCTCTGTCACAGCATTCTAACCTATCAGATGTCAAATATACCATAAGGAATATACAAAAACTCCTGACGTTTGCTTCTCCCAAAGAAAGCTTACAACGACAATCATGTGTTGCTAGTATTCTCACATCTGCTTGCAAAACTGCAGTAGATCAAAATATAGTGTGCTCTGTTGGTGCTCCTGCAGTTTTAGGGGCTCTACTGGATGTTTCCAATAACTCTCTGAGGATATCTGTAGTCACTTGTTTAGCAGCAATGTGTTTGAATAACCCTCTTGCTGCAAATGAAATAAAGAACACAACTCATAATCAAAAGATAATTCCCCATCACCTAATAATTTTTATGTCCAGAGAATACCCTATTGACGTACAATTGAGTGCATCTAAATGTATGACAAATCTACATCGAGCAGGCGCAATATCAGCATATGATCGAACGATTCTCTTTCGCACGCTTCCTTGCTTAGTGAGGCTCTGCCAGGTGATTGCTTTTTTTTAATCCCTAATTTTTTGTGACTGTTTTTTTTTCAGATAGAGTATTCGGAAGTTCATAGAACCATAGCTGCTGACACGTTGGCTTATCTAACTGAAGTAGACAGCGATTTACAGCAACTAGCAGCCATTAGTAATCAGCTTGTAGAGGCTTTAGTGGATTTGTTGAATTGCCCCAGTGATTCAGCTCGAGGAGCTGCTTTGAAGTAAGTGTGTCTTCCAAAAAAACATTTTATTACTGAATATTTTGTTTTCCCATTCGCTCCAGTTTTTGGAGTATTTATAATCGAATATATATTTTTATCCCCTAATAATGAACCAGAAGTCAAAACTTTTTTATACGGTCTGCTTTTGAAGATACAGCCCCTGAAAAGTTAAAACTGTTGATTGCATTTATTTGTATTTATAGTATTATGTAGTTTGCTGGATAATTTACGATTTTTTTAAAATTCACTGAATATGGAACGTTAGCTATTTGGCATATGATGGAATTGGCCGACACTTGATAAAAATACATAACTAATGTATTCAAAAAACACTTTATTGTGAGATTTTTCACTAAACAATTTTACAAAAACGCACACCTGTTTCGCCATACAATGGCTTCTTTGGGTGTGTCTTTACTAAATATATTCTCCATATTCAATGCTCAATATACCTAATTCTACAATAATAATAATTGGAATTTATTGAACAAAATTACAATTTTGCTCAACTGGCTATTGACCGAAGTCCTTTCGCCCGGCTAATTCTACAATTTTACAATTACAATATCTACATTTCAAGTACTTGATTTTTACCTAAGTGTGTAATGAATTAAACTACCTGAGCTTATATCCCAGTTTCCATATTTGAAAAAATATTTAGTAATGGGGAGTTATTCAATTCTAATTGACCATTCAATGAATTATTCTGAATCTATTGATTTCTAAACATTCTAGAAGATTGAGTTTCAAACACTTCTCTTCTAAATGTAACACATCATATTCATGATTGAACTCATGTCCTTCTGCTAAAAGGTGGTTTGCAAATGTGAAATGGATCTTTCTATTTACAAAACTTATCTTTAATCTTTGGGAAAATGTTCTCCCTGTTTGGCCAATATACAGTTTTGAACAAGAGTCACAAGTCATCTTATATACTCCTGATCCATCCGACACCGAAGTTTTGTCTTTATTGTTTTCAATAAATTTACTTGGACTAGTATTCGTTCTGTAAGCTACGTTTACGCATTTTTTCTTCAAAAAACAGGCAATATTATTGGTTGGTTCACCCAAATATGACAATGTCCTATAAATGACGTTATCACATCTTGAATTTGGGTAGACCTGGTCCATGGCTTGCTTTTGTAGTTTTTTAGAAAGAATGGAGTCTATAATATCTACCTTATAACCGTTGTTGACCACGATTTGCTCGATCAAACTCAGCTCTCTCTGGAAATTACTCTCAGACAGTGGAATATTGAATAGTCTGTGAAGCATACTATTGAATGCAGCAACTCTATGCTGGTAAGGGTGTGTGGAGGAATTAGTATGATATTGTCCATGTAAGGTGGTTTGTGGAAAATTGCAAATTCATGTTTATTGTTATTTTTCGTAATGGTTAAGTCAAGGTAATTTATTGAATTATTTACCTCTCTCTCAGTGGTGAATTTTATTGATGGGTGGATGGAATCGACATATTCAATTAATTTGCCTAATTGCCTATCTGTACCAGTAAAACAGACAGTACAGTTTTCATGCCAACGTGTATGCAATGTATTGAATAGAACTGGCCGATACTTGATGAAAATCCATATTAAAACTAATTAATACAGTTCGTTGTATGATTTTCACTATAAAGGGTTTTACAAAAACTGTGGCATGTGTTTCGCTATACAATAGCTTACCAAGCCTACTTCATACTCTAACATATTACCTACTTGTATGCCTAATTTATATGCAATGTTGCCATGTCCAAAGAACATTAATTTTTGGCTTCTGTGAAATGAACGGATCAATATTTTCACAGACACCTCTGCTGTGCTTGTAGCACTGGTGATCCGAAAAGTGACATTGATACTGATCTGGAAATCCCGTGAGGAGCCATGGAAACCTTAGACAGGAATAGATTGACTCTTTACTAGGTGCTAACATTTAAAAACTTGATAATTTCTCCACTAAAGTATAATCAATCATTATACTTCAATTTAAGGAAGTTTATTTTCTCATGCTAGAAGTTAGACAAGATATTACATTGTTTTAGTTGGGCTGGTAGTTTATTATGCTCTGGAAAAACTTTATGGAATCGAGAATTCATTGTTCTTGAACAATTGATAGGGGGTATACGATATCTGTTACTATTTCTTGTAAAGTAGCTATGAACATTTTGCTGGAATAAAAGAAATTGGTCAAAGTATAGAAATGTTTAGTCCTTTTATTTGAATATGAATATCACTAAAAAATAAAACGGCCAGTCTATTACTGAAACACCTGAAGCATTAATGTAATGGTAGAATATCATACCTCAAAAGTATTCGCAATAAAACAGTTTGCAGTTTCTGCAGTGACGCTAAAAAGTTAGCATCGCAGTGAGGTTGAATTATTGTTTTGAAAACTGTAACTGATATTTCAAAACTGAATATTTTCTGATACAGGTAAAGAAAAATAATTGTGAAATTAATATTGGAATTGTTGTTTGCAGTTTACAGTATTGTTGAGGAAACCCAAATATTTATATTGCTCAACTATTTCAATTGAGTCGCCAAAAATTGTAACATTCACTGTATCAAGTTGATGAGATCGTATTTCTAGTTTGTAGCTACGGTCATGACTTCAGTCTTGTAATATTCAACTTGAAATCTTTGATGTTAAAAAAAGGTGATATTTTTGATAATGGTTGAGTGTCCAGAGATAGAAGTTTCCCCACACTGTTGATGTGTGCAGAAGCTAGACTCTCCATACCATCTGCCCTGTTCGCTTTTGAGTGATTCTTAACCTGCATCCTTGTCACTTCAGTGGGCTTGAAATTTAAGCACTTTTGGTTTCAAATTCTCATTGCTAACACCAAATGTTTGAGAATAAAGATGTGAAAGTTTTGTCCAACAACAAAAAATAATTGGTCTCACTATAGATCATACATCCGTATGTAGTTCTCATTCTGATCCATTTTGTAACAAATTGAAAATAACTGTCAGTCCTTAAGGTTTATGAGAAACCATGGCACCGGATCTTGTTCAATTAATCATCAACATTAAAGTTGTCACCTTCAAAATAGTCTCCATTGAATATTATGCACTTGTGCCAGCCCTTCCTTCAATCCTCAAAACACTTTTTGAACTCGATGTTTGGGATAACCTTCAACCCTTCAGCAACACGTTTTTAATGTCATCCAAGCTTATGGGAAGATGACCCTTCAAGGTTCACTTAATTTTTGGAAATAGGAAAAGTCACACGGAGCCATGTCTGGCATTTCTTCACAATGTTTATTCCAACATAAATGACAAAGAAACAGTGGCTGCGGTCTTCTGTGATATAGCCAAAGCATTTGATTGCGTGAATCATAAAATTCTTTTACGGAAACTCAGTAGATAAGGTATAACTGGAATAAGTCTTAAGTGGTTTGAGTCATACTTAGCAAATCGCACCCAGATGGTCAAAACCACTTCATAATCAAATGAAGGTAAAATTACTTGCGGCGTCCCGCAAGGTTCGGTACTGGGCCCACTTTTATTCTCAATTTTCATTAATGACCTATCGTCTATTAACACCCAAGGAAAATTTACTTTATTTGCTGATGATACCACAATTTTATGGCATGCTGCTAACAACCATACGTTGTATGAAGTTATTGAGAATGACTTCACGAAAGTGAAAGAGTGGTTTGACTCAAATCTCTTGAGCTTGAATTTATCAAAAAACAAAAGAAGTGTCCTATCATTGCCAGATTCCAGCCGTACATCTAAATAATATTCAAATTGACAACGTACTAACTTCTAAATTCTTTGGCTTGTTCATTGACAGTAATTTAAAATTCAACAAACATGTAGATAGTTTGAAATCCAAGCTCTCGTCTGGATGTTATGAAATACGAGTAACTGCATTTGAGCTCGGATCTGCAGTAGCTAGAATGGTTTATCCCATATTCGTTATGATATTTGCCTTCGGGGTGTGTGTTCTACTGATACAAAAACGTACAATACGATGCATATGCAAAGCCGAGCCTAGGGACTCTTGTCGGCTTCTTTTTGCCTCTAACAGAATCCTAACTGTGGTCTCCTTATTCATATATGACATAATCTACCTTCTCTTTAAAAATAGGAACTTATTTAACAACTTGTACGAGCCAGTGTATTAAACCAGGTAAAGATTCAGCTTCAAATTACCGCTGCCTTCTTCGACCCTAGTTAAAGATGCCATTATTTACACCAGTCTCAAAATGTTCAATCATCTTCCTCAAGCTATAAGAACCATAAATGACCTTAGTGCTCTTAAGAAAGAGTTGAACTTGTTTTCTGTGAGACCTTATTATAGCTTAGCAGAATTCTATGATGATAATTTTAATTGAGTCTGACTGACTACGGTATTTTATTGATCAGATTCAATTCAGTTTAAATTGATTTATTTAATTTTATTGACCGTGTTCTTATATCCTGAACGTTTTTATTGGGTTATTGTTATTTCCATGTCCCTTTTCAGTTCATGACAATATATCAACCTTAATTGGCAAATAAGCAGTTTTAAGAACAAGTATCCAGCATGTCAGATAAAATTATTGTTACTAATGATTCGACTAATCCCAAGAAATTTTTCGTGAAAATAAGTGATGAGAAATTCAACTTTTTGTTTTTATTTTTATCGTTGTTTTATAATTTCACAAATAAAAATGTTTACATATTGTTGATCGTTTGACAGGAAATATGATTGTTTACGTTTATTGAGTTCCAGGGTTTCCAGCAGGTTTAATTTTTGTCTTTAATTTTCTGTATGTAATATATCACAGTTTATGTCAAAGTTGTAGTTGTTTTCCAACAAATGGCGTGCATAGGTTAAATTGGTTTTCTATAATTCCAAACTTCTTCTGTGTTCTGAGATTCTGGTTTTGAGATTTCTAGATGTTTTGCCACTATAAACTTTTGAGCATAAACAGTTATGGCGGGCCGGATTTGGCCCGCGGGCCGTAGTTTGGAGACCACTGGTCTAGAGTGACATCAATCATAATTCCTATAAGTCACTGAAAATCTCACAGGTGCTGGATTGTATTTATATTTCCAATAATATACATTGATAGCTGGTCCTCATTCAACCACTCAATATCAGAAATGTCACCTGTATCTTGGACCCAAAATTTGCAACAAATTGAATATCTCGATAAAAACTTCTAACAATACATAAATTTTCCACTTCATGTTGAAAGTTCAAGTCATCCAAAAGAATACCAAATAATTTATATCCTCCCTCTTCTTTCTAGTTTACTCTAAATGTATACTTCAACTTTATCTAACTACCGGTTCCTTTGTTAATGTTGCAATAATATTATTTTTCGTTTCTAAAACCTCAAAAGATATTTTTTTTGTAATTGAAATTGTATGCGTTTCAACACGAGAAATAAATATTATTATTATTATTTTACAGTGAAACGTATTTATGGGTGTTGGAGTTCTTATAAAATTATAAAAATTGAATATCAAATGTAAAAAATATATATGTAGAAAAAAATGTGTTGATAGTAAATAAATTTTTGCTGTGCTAAACATCTTAGCTGCGCTAAACATCTTCAGATCACAGAAGAAAGCTTTTCGTCTTCTGGCTGGAGTCGGACTGAGAGAATGTCGTCCCCTCTTTACTGACATGAAAATAATGACACTACCATGCATTTACATATATCAAACCTTTTGTGAAATACACTCAAATAAAGGAAACTATACTGTTTCGTCAGATCTTCACAAATACGACACGAGATCAGCAAACCAAATACTGCCGTGCTAAGGAAGAATGTCGTAACTGACAATTTCATCAAAATTGAGTTATTGCCATTTTTGCATCTGCAACCACCAACGCAACTTCTGAGAAATGTTGGATACCATAGCTATTCAGCTGAAGACACAAATTCAGTTTGAAATTTGTCGTATCTACAAACTATACTGACTTTACAATGCAAAAATGTCGTATCTGATATCACTAAGCAAAATTATCGTATCTACGATAACATTGACAAATACGACAATTTTGCTTAGTAAGTTGGCAGATACGACAGACCCAATTGAAAAGAAAAAGAAAGGTCTATGATTTTCAAGACTTCAAAGAGTGTGTACAAAATGCTCATCCCAAAGC